TTGGTAAGGGAATTTTCAGAGGTGGCTGTAGCTATGGGTGTTGGATTTGTGCCTGTTCTCATGCGTGAAGAGAGTTTGAGAGGATTTCATTGTCCAGCTGCTTTTTTCAATCCTTAATTTCCTGGTATCAGGAATGCCAGATGAGAGGGGCTCTGCCCCCTCCCTGCTTCCTCTGTCACTGGAAACATGCTAATCTTCCCTCCTCTGTGTAAAACCTGCATTTTTAACATGGAAAATGCACCCCCTCTTTCTTTCCTTCTGGCCAGGAACGCTTGTGCCTCTCAGTGTTGTGTTACCTTTAGCATTGCAAACCGAAGAGCTGCAGTGCTGGAGCTGCTCAGCCTGCCAGGGGCTGTGGGGTGGCTGTGCATGGGGCAGGCAGCACTATGCTGCTGCCACGGCTGGTGTGCTAGGGCTCTGGGGATGCAGTGCTGGAGATAGGTGAGGGGAAAGAGGAAGGGCACGGCATGCTGCCTTGGGCATCTTTGGCAGCTGTTGTATTCATGGGGCAAGAAGGAAACGGAGCTGGAGAGGGCTTCTGGTGTGGATAAGGGGAGCAAATAAAGCAGGCCAGCCACAGAACGTTTCCTGTCTAAAACACTGGTTTTGGAAACGATGGTTTTGGTTTGGTTTGGGTTTGTTTCTGTGCTCTTCTGTGAGAATCCTCAGCTGATGGCACAAAGAATTGTCTTGGGGCATGGCCTTGGGCTCGCTGGTGAGCTGGCAGGATCTGGCAGGGCTGCAGTGGGTGGGAGTGGGACTGGGCCTCCCTGGGGAGCTCTGACAGCACAGAGCAGCTCTGCCTGCTCCTGTGAAGCATAAGTTTGCAACAGTGAGTGTTATTCTGGCCTTGGTTGGATGCCAGTCTTTAGGATACCAGAAATCTAAGGCCAGGCTGACCTCTAAAGCACAGCTTTTGCTTTTAATGCAGAGGTATTCATTCTCTGAACCGGTTGAATGCACTGGGGACTTTCCTTCTGTTTGTGCCAGGACAAAGTCTTCATCTCCTTTAGAAATGCTGAGAAGTCCTTCTGTTGGACAGCCAAACCCAATCCCCTTTTACTAAACATGGTTCTGGATGAGGCAGCTTGGTTAGGCCTGGCTTATAATTTGCAAAGGCTGCTGGGGGAGTTAAGCATTTGAAAATCAGGGGTGCATTTGGTCTGCACAAGACCCTTGTCAGCAGTTGTTTGGCCTGTCAGTATCCGAAATGGCAAAGGGCAGTTTCTCTTTCCTACTTTTGGCTCATGTGAAATAGGGAAGCATGAGCAAAAGCTCACCCCACCCCATGGCTCCCTGCAGCAGCCGGGGAGGGGCAAAGCAGAGCACTGCCTGCTGCTGGAGCGATGCCCTGCACTACCTGGGGCCAGAAGGAGCACTGCAACACATGAGGATGATCCAAGGCTCAGCATCCTGCATTTGCTTCAGCATGGTTCTGCAGGGTGGGTGTCTGGACCAGCTGAGCACAGTGAGCAATAGCTTGGACCCTGTGCTGAAATACTGTTCCCTCTAAAGGGTGATGCATGCATAACAGTATTGCATAAGATAACGGAGTAGTTAAGTACGTGTAAGATAATAGAGTAATTAAGTGTTGCATAAGATAACGAAGCAATTAATTCTGCGTGCTTGATTCTGCCAGCCCATCTGGGCCATTTTGCTTCAGGATGGCTCCACTGATTCTATGAGTTTTTGAGCATCCTGGAGCTGACCATTTGTGCATGCATCTAAAGGTCTCCTGGTACCAACCTGCTTCTGCCTGATTAAGGCTTTTGCTGTCTCGCATTCATGAGGTCTGTGCAAAAGTCCTGGGCTTATTCACTTCTGCGTATGTTATTTTGAAGTCATGGTGGTGTTATTTAATGCTATGCAACATCAGGGTTTAAAGGAATGCTTGTGTACGTGCTTATGTGTAAATATGTGCTTATACTTGGTTTTATGTATATGCACATATGTTTATTATATTTATAGATGTAATATGGCAGTGCCCTTGGTGTGGGTTACAGCGGTACTCTGCTCCGGTCACTGCATAGCAGGTGGCTTGCTTGCCGCCTTTTCAGGTTTCTAGATGCAGTTGCTATAGCTACTTGCCAGCTCCTGGGGATAAAAGTGACCACCTGAGGCATTACTTCTGACTTGAAGCATCCTATGGGACTTGTACGTCAGCTCTGAAATGCACAGCATCTTGGTGAGCAGGAATCCAGAACAGGCACTGCATGCCTCGGGTCTGGGAGAGATGGGAGGGAAGCTGCCCAAAAGAAAGCAGATGAGAAAAGGACTTCCAAAAGGGGATGTTCATGGAGGGAAGGAGGAGGAGATGGATGTAAGGGTCTCACTGAGGCAGGAGAGTAACTGCCCACCACATCAGCCTGACTAAGAGCTCCAGGAACTTAAGCATTCCCTCGTATGAAGCCAGTGCTGGAAGGAGAGTGAAGGGGCTTGAGAAGGATGTCCCAGGAAGGAGAGTGCTGGAGATGCAGGCATGTTAGGAAGGTGCCTGGTTCCACCAGGTCGCACTTGAAGCTGGCAGAAGCAGCTGTATGGTGGGGGCTGCTTTGGCAGCACTGCACTGACACAGGAGCAGCTCTGGAGGGTGTTGTGCATCCCCAACCCCTTAAAAATAGCTCATTTAAGAACAACTGCAGTCAGAAAAGTGGTTTCATTAAGCACTAACCACTGGTGCCTCTGCGCTAGCTGCTGGAGCACTTGTTTGATCAGATAGTGCTGAATGCAGTGCTTTCATCTCTGGGCGGCGGCAGAGCCCTGACTGACTCAAAGGGTGTAGGGACCCACTGCCTCAAGGTAAGCACATGGGAAACTTCCTTCCAGCTTCCTTCTCTCACACGCCTCTGAGCTGCCAGATCTTCTGGCTGTGCCCTGCAGAGATCTCGAAAGGAACTCGTGTCTTCTCTGTGAGTGAGCTGGCCAGGAGCAGGTGAGTAAACCTGGAAGTGACTGTGGTCTGAAGAAGGCCAGCTTGGTCTGACTGGGGTTGCTTTGCAGGCTGTATATGTCGAGCACTATGTGATCTCCGTGCTGAGCTCTGAACAACATGAGGTTTTGGAGCAGCTGAGGAAGGTGTTGTGCTTTGCTTGTACTGGTGTGCATGAACTCCAGTGTTTGGGGAGCTTTTAGAGCCCATTGGAAAGGGAATGGGGGGGTTAACTTCAAGTTTCCTTGTTTTGGCAGCACTGGTGCTTTGTCATATTCGAGAAGGACTATAGATAAAGCTTTATGGAGGCGCAGTCTAAGTTGAGACTTCATACGTGGTTCAAGGTGAAAAGAACTGAAGAACTGGGACAAGCTGATAATATTACTGCTGTACTTTGGGAAGAAATTGAAAATCATTGTTCAGGCTTCAGAGGATATTCACTACACTAATGATTTTGTTTAACTGGCTATTTCTATATTTAACACTTCAGAAAGAGGAAAAAGAAGTTGGAGAAGATGACTTGTAGTCATTTCCCTTGATGACATACCATTGTGGTCTCTATGCATGTTGGTCAGCTTTCTAAAAAGCCTTTATCCCAGTTGCATCAATTTCTTTTTTATCCTGAATGCGTTCTTTTCAGTGATCAGTGGGGATATATGAACATAAGTATGTAAGCATACGTGTTTGTAATATATCCTATATAGAGATATACACGCATTTCAGTGGGAGCAGCAGAAACTTAGCTGAATTGACCTGAATCTTGGAGGAGGGGAAAAACACTGAAATGCGAATGAGTAATCTCAAAATAGTTGTAGAGGACTCTGGCTTTTTACTAGCTTTTGTTAGCTCTCGTGTTGCAATGATGCAGCTTCCCCTAAAAGAGAGGAGACAGTGAGGGTCTTATGGTGTGATTGGCCAATGGTGGGAAGAAAGGCTGTGTACTTGCAGAAGAATGGGATGATAGAGAAGTGAGGAACTCAGGTAAATGATGTGGCAGAGGAGGCAGCTGTGCACCTGTATGCTTGTCTTGCTTGTGCTCATACCCAAATACAGCAGACTGTGTTTGGAGTTGACTTTTGGTTCTCTTGCCTGTGTTGGAAATCAGTCCTGTGCCAGAGATTTGCCAGGCGGACCGCATGATGGCCACTGCTGTGTGCCTTCAGATCTCCTGGCAAGCTCAGGCATGGTGTGGTGGAACCATGGATACCATTATGACAAGCTGGAATGGGGAAAGTTGTGGGAAGGAGCAGGGGTACACTGCTGGGGAGGATTCCTTCCTCAGGAGGACTTGGATTCATGGAGACGAAGGGTCAGCTAGGTTCAGCTGACTATGCTAGCATTCCCAGATAATTGGGATTTTTTTTTATTTCCCACACAGTCACTGCTGGAGGGGCTGCCTTGGCTAGAGAGAAAGTGAGCACTTGGGCTGCTTCCTGAGGCCCACTCAGAGCCCCTTAGCCTGGAAGGCAGCACAGGTACGGGTGGCTGTGTTTTGCTCTCTAGCTGTTGGCCTGAACTCCTGCCTTTTCCTGGCTGCCTGTCCTCAGCTGGGAAATGGGGATAGGGGCTTCCCCTTAAAATCGAGTAAAAGGAGGCAGGTTTGTTTAAATAAAATAAATGAGTAACTTTAACCTAAAGCTTGGCCTGAGCTAGATCAAAGTCAGCCTTGTTTGAAGTCTGGTGAACTTTAAGCCCAGTGCTTTCCACTTTTGAGCTGAGCTTAAATGTTAAGCGACAGGGAGAATCTGCCTTGCTTCAGATTGGTTGGACGGAGGCTGGAGGTGACATGAGATGTGCTTTGCAGGCTCGAGCACCGTGTGGGAAGTTGCTGGGTGCGAGATGACAGCAGTATGAAAACAGCAGCTCTTGCCTGAAAGCAGCCAGACCCTGCAGACTTCCTGTGAGCTGTAGCAGCTGTGGTAGCCTGTCGTGCAAGAGCTCGTTTGGATTTTGCTTGCAGGTGAAGGTAATCCGGGTTTCTGATCTGCAGATAAGCATAGATGTCTGCTTGTGAGTTGATTTTAGCATGTTTACTTATCTGTGCAAGCCATTAAGGCATTTTGTTGATCTGTGGTTTGCTGCCCAGTCTGAGAGGAGAGCTTTGCAGCATTCTCTGTGATTTGTGAAAGTCTGGTTCGTGTGAATGTTGACTGTTTGATGCTGAGTTTCAGCCTCCTTTCTTAGAGATGGAGGAAGCTTCAGTGAAGTGCTTTGGCCTTCTCTGTTTGTGTCATGGGCATGCAACTTTAAGTAACTGTGGTTTCTGAGGCTTGGGTTCCTGGATGAGAGTGATGCACCATGGATTTAGTTAATGCTGAGAGCAGAGCCTCCTGCTGCAGTGCAGTCCTCTGGATCAGGAACACATTCCTGAAGCTGCCCTGCAGATCACTCCCACACTTGCTGGGAAGCAGTTTCAAATCAAACAGGTTCAAGATGATTGGAAGGCAAGGAAAAGCTCTCCAGGATGGCCTCATGTCCTGCAGTGCTCCAGCGACTTGGCTGACTGCAGTTCATGGCATAGGATGCCAACAGGAGTGCAAGGATCAGCTGCTCCCCATGTGACGTGTGTTTTTGAGTGCTTGCTTCCTTTTAGGATTCACTCAATGAAGAAGATGCAGTCAGTCCTGGCAGTGCAGTGGGATGGCTGACCTAAGGACAAAACCAGTGATAGAGCAAGAGGCTAACGCTGTATTTAAATAGAGCTGATCTGTGATGTTACTGAAGTAGAAATTGCTGTAGAGATAAACATGGGTTCCTCTCGGGGCACAAACTGTATATTAATGCTGTTGTGTGTGTACTCACCTCAGGCCAACAGCAGCTGTTCCTCCAGCTGTTGATAGCTGGAGAGGTGCTCTGTTGGCAGTTTGCTCAGAAAGGTGGGGATCAGGAGCGAAGTGAGTGTCGTAACTGGTAGCACTGAACGTCCTGGGCACAAAAGATGCCTGACTTCTTTATCTGGGGGAGTTTCTGTGCAGAAAGAAGAAGTCTGGCTACTTCATGGCCAGGTGGCACCAAGGGGAGGGGAGAGTGCTGTGTGTTTGTGCAGCCCGCTCCTGGGAGCTGCATTCTCATCTGGCTGTGAAGGAGTCAGGCGTTGGCTAAAGCTCCCCTCGGTGCCCCATCCCTCCTTCTGGCTCTCCTGGGGGTGGGTGGATGCCTTCCCTGTCTCTGGGAGTTCTGGGTCACATGAGAGCTGTCAGTCTGCAACAACACTGTGCTGAACCCAGTGCTGAGCCAGCACTGCGTGGAGGGATGCAGGAATGTCTGGGCCTCCTTTGTTGCTTCAGGGAGCAGCCCATGTTTCTGTTGGATTGGTCTGTCTAAAGCTCTTCCTCCACGCCTGCAAGTCGCTACCTGGCTTTGATAAAAACCACATTTGTGCTGAGGATGGCTGTTGTGGTGCTTTGCATGCTCCACTCCAGGAAAGAGGGAGGCTAAAAACTGCAGTGGTCTTTGTTGCCCTTCAACTTCAGCTTCCCAAGCATAGTGTTTTCTTCACTCCAGCAACTGCGTCTACCTTCCTTAACTGCTTGGTTGCACTTCAGATCACTTTGTGTCACGCCCCATGACCACCGTGATCCTTCACTGGGCTGCTGCCATGATTTGTGAAGGGAGAAGAGGCAGAGGGGAATGTTTGCTGGGTGGATTTCTGTGCAGTGCATGGCATGGCTGCTGCTGGGCTCTCAGCCATCAGTTCTGGATGGGCAGCACTCTAATGTGTTTGGTTTCCCTTGTGCTTATGGGGGTGCTGAGAAAAACAGCAAGGAGGTTTCAAGCAAAGCCTTCATCAGGAAACTTTCCGTAATGTTTTCTGGTTTTGTAAGTATACATGTGAAACTTTGGGTGCAGGGGGGAGGAGTGTTTTAAGCTCTCAAAATGGCTTTAAGTTATACGTAGATGCTTAGATTTATGCTGAATATTTCCGTTCGTTTTAACGTTATCAGCCTGCATTTTATCTTTGAAATGTCAGTGTGGGGTTAAAGCCAAGGTAGAGCTGTGCTTGCTGGTGTTCACATCCAAAGGCAGATAGACCACGAGTTTGCTGCGTGAGGACGTGACTCCCCGACTTGCCTTGGCACAACGTGTGTTTGACATCTGCTACTGCAAATATTTTGGCTTCTGAGAACCTGGCTGCTGCTTCAACAGTGAACAACATTTGGTGTGTTTTGCTATCTGGATTCCTGCGTGTCTGTTACAGCAGCTCCTCCCTGACACTTAACCTGGACGCAGGTTTCCTCAATAGCTTGTGTTCAGTGCTCACAGCTTCCTGGGGATATTTCTTTTCCTATACTCAGGTTCCTTGCATTGAAAGGGAATATTTAGACTTTTTTTATTTTTTTTTGTGCCAGAGAAGTAGTAGAAATTTGTGTACAATAACTTCTTTTTGCTCATTCTCTGAAAATGACATGTTCTGGTGGGCTGCGATGGTTGTCATCGTGGGGGAGCTGTGGTGATGAGCACTGCCCTGGGGTGCTCTGCATGGGAAGCACAGAACCAAATCTGAGCAGCGCCGCTGGGCCGGGCCCAGAAACAGTAGATGTGCAGTTCTGCACGCTCCTTCCAATCCCTTTGTTTGAATTGAATTAGGTTCTGCTTTGAGCAAGTTGTAAAGAGTGACTGCGTGGTCCTGGAAGAGATGGAGAGATATCACACCCACCTGCAAGAGGCTGGCGTCATGGAAGCCTTACCCTGAGGGGCTGCTGAGCAGTGCCTGGCACAGAGCTGTTTATTGTCCTGGGGCCATGGAATGCTGGTTGGGTGTCTCGGTGAGTGGGGATATTTGCAGAGGCAGTAAGTGTTGGCTTGCTGCATGCTGCTAATTTAAAATAAACAAGTGCTGCCCTTATTTTGAACGATGAATGCCCTAGAGGAACACATTAATAGAGAAAATGAGGAAGTGGTGGTGTTTAATTTGAAGGCATAATGTAAAGTAAATAGTCCTAAATGAGTGCTCAAACCCTTGTCTTCTTAGCTCAGAGGAATATTTGGTGTGGGAAAGGTTATGGTAAAGCTGGCTGATGATGGAAGCCTCACTGATAAATTTGTGATGTCAGAGGGTTCCAGATTCCAGATGGGGGTTGGACTCGATGATCTCTGGAGGTCCCTTCCAACCCCTACAATTCTGTGATTTGGCCAAAGTTACACTCTTGAGAGTCGGTGGTTGTTGGGTGGCATTACCCACTTCCTTTCTCTTTTTTGAAATTGATCATGAAACGTGCTATTTCAGAAGTTGGAAAGGTTTGTTACCAGCAGTGTTTTCCACATCTCTTACTGCAGTGAGGCTTTACTGTTGGAAAAGTCATCAATGGCAGCGCTGCTCACAACACACTCCCATGAGCATGTGCCTACCGTGAGCTGACTTCTGTTTTATGCTGAGCTCCGAGAGCTTCTCCCAGCCCAGAATGAGCACCAGGACATCCCTGGAAGTGATCTCCCACCAGGAGATGGCATCTGAGTGGGGACGTGGAGTCAGAGCCCTGCTTTACCCGCAGGCTCTGAGGCCATAACAGGTCCCTTCCCTGCCCCTTACTGTGAATGAGAAATATCAGGCAGGCAGCTGTGACCAGTATAGGAAGCAGTGTTGTGGTGGAGCAGTGCTGCTCCCAGCAGCCAAGAACTTGTCCCTGTGCTCATGGAGGCACTGTGTGAGCAGCCCACCAAGCAAGGCATGTGCCTTGCTGAGATAAGCATGGCATTCTCAGCCTACTCCCTCCAGACTGTGTGGCTTCTTCGTGTGTCATCTGAAATTTAACCACGTTTCTCACTTAAAACACTTCTGCTCATTCTTCACTTTTTTTCTCTCTTTTGTTGCATGTGTTGACTTTGGAAGTGCTTACTTCAGCGCATGGCTCAACAGCTGTTTTATTTTCACAGTGCAGTGATGTTTTGAGAGAAAGCAAGGAATTGCTGTAAGCGAGTCTACTCTGTTTATCTAATTACAAAACGGAAATATATGCAGCTGAATTAACAGGCCGGGTTGGACAGAGTGTCAGAGAGAACTGAAACAGCTCTGGAGGAACAGTGTGTTCACTTCTAATGTATTATCAGTTTTCACCTGATGAGTCTATGAAAAACACTGTTTCTTCTGTTATAAAATGACTCAGTCACAGCTTCTTTACACTTATAGTCTTGATAATCTCTTTCCCCAGGACAGGAACAGGAGATTTTAAGAACAGATGGGATTTTTAGATAATTTCTCAAATCCTTTTATTTTTTTCCCCTTTTCAGTTTCCTTGGGAGTATCACTTTATTTTGAGTGGAAGGAGTCCTGCTCTGCACCTCCATCTCATCCTCTGTTTGCAGAAGAGGATCACTTTTCAGATCTGTTTGCCTTTTTCCTCTTTTCTTGTTTTAAGAAGTTAGCAAGCCCATCGAAAGGGAGGCAGTGTGCTTGAGTTTTCAAGTGTTTGGTGAGAGCCTTGGGAAAACCCTGAGCTGTCATGGGGTAAGAAAGTTCCTGTGCTGGTTTAGGAATTGCCTGGCACGTAAGAAGCAAGATGTCAGATTCCACAACACCACAGGGCTCCCACAAGCTAATATCACTCCTAGATACCTGCAGTTCTACTGCAGTAATTGATCTGAGGAGGAGAGGAATGGCAAGGCATGTATCCTGAGGGCTGGTGGGACCAGAGGGAGAACTGGAAAACCACAGAGAGCCAGCAGTCCCAGGCAGCTGGGCAGCACGACAGTCAAGGATGCTGTGTTAGCAGAGGTGGCATAAAGCTCTGTGGTTTTGGTTTATTACCATGGAACAGATTTGAGTCAGCCCCACTTGCAACATGGCCTGAAGTCACTGCAGGCAGTACAGAGCTGGGGCCTTGGAATGTGGCCCCAAAGGATGTAAGTGAATGGGCTTGGGAGGTGACCAAAGCAATCCAGCTGTGGTCTGCAGGGTTGCATGGCCAGAGTGTGCGTGGGGGGGCATCCTTGTGGGCTGATCCCTAAGCTTTTTACTGATCACTGTAGAAAACAGATAAGAGCTTGCCAGGCTATTATGTCTAACACAGTGGAGCTGCTGTGGTAAGCGTTTCTAGGGTAAATCTGCTGTGGGTCATGGAAATGCAGATTGCCAGCTGTCCTCCTCTACCTGGCTGGGGCAGCTGTTTTGTACCACTCAGCAGGCACCAGCACCCTGAGCTGAGGTTCTGGGCCAGGCCAGGCTGCAGCTCCCTGCAGGGATGAAAGCCTCCGGGATGCCAGAGCAGGGAGGTTCTGCCCACCTGGGTGGTTAAGCCTGTGAGTGCTATCCTTGAGAACTGCCTTTCCCCTTGGTAAAAAAAAAAAAAACAGAACAACAAACAGCCTCTTTACTTACAAGTCAAAGCAAAATCACTGTTCCCGCTGCAGTGCGCACAGTTATCAAGATGGGGATTGCATTGTGTGAAGTGCAGAATGTAAATTTTTAGGCTCCTCTGGGTGCTCCTCACTATGGGGAACACAAGCTGGCAGTGCTGAGACGTTCTGCTATTGCCTGCATCTGAAGATTCCTGGAAATCAGCCCCTCACTGTTGTGTCAAGAAGCACAAGGTGAATGAGGTCTGGCTAGGAGCCTGCCCAGTGTGTGCTGGAAGGGAGGCGGAAGGAGCCTGGGAGCTTTGCTCTGAGCTGGTTGGTGCTGCATGGCTCATTTGGGGGTTTCTGTTTCTCTCTATTTATAGATTCTGAAAGCACTGCTGTCTGCAGCGGAACTGCGCGCAGAGGGGGTAGAAGGATGCCCACCAGCTGTGGGCTGCTCTGTGTGAAATCACTGGGTTTTTCAGAGTTTCTTAGTAGAGTTAAAATACGAGTAGTCAGCATTAGGATGTATAGAATCTAATGCTATGTACTGTACATCTGTAATTTAGCTTACATGGCATTGTCCTGACTTGGTGTTCTGCAGAAGCAAGCTACTTCTTGAAACATATCACCCTGTGAAATCTCGCCTTCTCTTGCTGTATTTCCTTGATTAGAATGAAGCTGTGAGGTCAAAAGATTTGTCTAGACAGTATTTTGTGAGGGCCTGTGCATAAAGTAATATGTTGTAAAGTGATTTTTCATACTACTCACTCTTTCTTGCTCCAAAAAAAGCCAGTTGTCTGCAGTTGTGTTTGAGGAGGAGCACCTGAATTGCTGAAGAGCAATTAGCAAGATGTTTTCTTGGGAAAAGTTAAGTTTTTTCATCTCCTTTTCTCTTAGCAATGCTCATTGCACGCATTAACCAACAGCACTGGGGTTTTTACTTCACTGAGAGAATGGACACACAAAGCTGATGTGTTATTCATGTGCTGACACTTTGTGCCTGGATGACAGCTTTTATGGGACTGCTGCACTTATCTGAGGAAATGCACGTTCATCTTGAAACCACGAGGTTCTTCCATGATAGTTTTATTTTTTCTTCTTATTTATTTATTTATTTATTGCAGGTGTTTCTTGAGTCTCTTCAGTGCCTCATGCAGCTGTTGTGTTTGGAGATATCCTGCCTTAAATCCTGGACAAAAATCTGCCAAAAGTCAAAAATGACTTGAGTGGAAGAGCCACTGTTTTGTCCAACAGGTAGGATGTCGGTATTGGTGGCTTCTGATATGTCACAGCTCAGCATAGCTTGCTGTGAGCAAGCTGTCTGCGGAGGGAGTTGCTGCATGAGCCATGCTAGGGCAGATAATCATCTCCTGAGGTCTCACCACTTGGAGGTGGTTCGTATAAAACTGTTTCACTGGGGAATATGGTTTTGTAGAAAAGACATGAAGGCAAAGCCATCTGAAAGCCATCTGCTGTTGGAGTGCTCCCTTTAATAGCACAGCTGAGGGGAGGTGGAGGTGACTGCTCACACAACGTGCTGCATAAGGAGATGGGCAGTGCTGTACACAGGATCTAGCCTTACTACCTGTAAGGATAACATGCCTTGAATAACATTTATCAAAGAGCATTTGTGAACACAGCCGTGGCTTAATTGTCTCCCAGCAGCTGGTTTCCCACCAGGAGCATGCTCAGCCCAATGAGGGTTTGCTGAAGTTCCCTGTGTAGTAGCTAGCTGTCAACTGATGAAACTGCTGGTGCTCATGAACTCAGTTTTTTTCTGCATGGTTATGTGCCTCGTTATGTGCTTGGTTAGTGTTCAGGCTTGTAATGAAGTGACAGCTCAGTTCTGGAATTGCTGCTGGTGGGATTTGCACATTGACTGATTGGGATGGGAGGTGAAGGAGAACAAAACAGAGGCCTACATTCCTGCCGGTGTGCTTCTAGCTGTGTTAAACATGTTTCAGTGACAGCAGCCCCAGGTCACTGCTACATGCACGTGATGGTTAATAGCCACTTCAAGTCTTATTTGTTTGACATTTGAGGTGGTGAACTTTTGAAATGAGGTCTTTAAATGGGTTGAGGTGTTCAAATTGCCGCTGCATTCTCCCACTCCACACCCACAGCCTCAACTGCTGCCTGGGATTTTTATATGCATGTGTGGATGTGTACCTTTGACTGAGATGTTCTCTTCCCCAGGACCAACTTGCTGCCCTGAGCTCTTTGTCCCATTTGGATGCAACGTACACTATGGTTCACATCAATGTGCTGAAAAAATTTATGTGTGTTCTTGTGGTGATTCTGATAGCTCTGACAGTTTGCCTGTGGAAAGAAACAAGAGGAAGCTACTATGTTCCTTTCAGGAATGATGATACACAGGTTCACAGGACTTTGGAAAAATGGAACCTACTTAAATCACAGGGCCTCTTCCACGAAGCTGCTGGTGAAATGGGTCAGATGCCTAAAGCTTTGCCCAACAACCAAAATAAAGTAAAAGGCATCACCTCTGGAGCAGTGGAGAAGTCCAGGAAAGCAGCAGACCATGTGAAGGTATGGGATAAGGACAGCTCATCCAGAAACCTCATACCCAGGCTGCAGAAGGTCAGGAAGAACTACCTGTCCATGAACAAGTACAACGTGACTTACAATGGGAAGATGAATGCTGCTAAACTCAGCCCAGAGAAGCTGCTGTGCCAGCTGCGGGACAGGGTGAACGTGACCATGATACAGGGATCAGATGGGCCCTTTAATTCCTCAGAATGGCAGCACTACCTGCCAGAGAAAAGCCTCAATGAAACAGTGGGCCGCCTGGGCCGCTGTGCTGTTGTGTCCTCAGCAGGCTCTCTGAAATCATCTCACTTGGGACCAGAGATAGGTTGGTATTTTTCTATTAAGATAAAAGCAAGCAATACCGTTTTATAACTTGCACTGAACAGAAGAGACACTGTGTCATGCTCTTACTCTGCTGGAGCCACAGAGGTGTTTAAAATAAGCTGGAATCTATCCTTGCAGTTCTTTGATGGTGAACAGTACAGGCTAGGAGGAGGTGGGAATAAGGATGAGATGCTCTTCTCCTCTCTCAGTGTGAACGCTGCACATCGTAAGCTTCCTTATGATGCTGTAGGTGACAGTGCCTGTGAGTGTTAGCCTTTGGGCATGCCTGCTCCCATGAGCAACCGCTGATAGCAGCAGCAGTTTCTCAGAAATGAAAAGGATTGTGATAGAAAACAGCTGCAGTCTTAATTCTGGAACCTTGTAAAGATTTGATTATGGTATAACACCATAACACTTCCTCAGCAGGAAAACAGCAAGTAAAAATATTTGGTCAAATGGGTAAGCCCCAAGGGGGAGTGCAGAGGATTGGACTGAGTTGAGCGGATGTGACTTCTGTGCAGGTAGTTCCTTCATAGTGAGTCCTTTCAACTTTCATGGTTGTGTTGACCTCACCAGAAACTAGAACTAATACTGAATACCAGGAAGAGGTTTGGCACCTCAAATGTTTGTTTCTTGAGAGGGTGTGGGATGGGTTGAGTAATGCTTATGTGCTCATTGCACACTCAACAGGCAGAAACTTTTTTTATTAGTAGAAACTCATACAGAGAAGGAAGTAACAAAAATAGCAAAAAAAACAAAACAAAAAAACCAACACAACTAAAGCACAAAAGGGAAAAAAAAAACAACCAATGAACAGAGTCCTGAGCAATGTGCTCTAGTTGATCCAGCACTGAGCAGAGGGCTCAGTGGCCCTGGGCAGGCTTCAGAGGTCTCCTCTATTTCTTGCTTGTGATCATCCAAAAGTGGCACCGCCTCACTGAGCCTGCAGGGCAGCTGACTGTGAGTGTCCAGCAGTTGAGGTCTGTTCTGTGCTACGGCTACAGGACAGACTTCAGAGGGCTCCATTTGTTGTATGGAGTTTGGTGATACTTTGCAAAGTCCTATCTGCCCATATTGATCTGAAGTCAGTACAGTGAGTAACAAATGCTGAAGCATTGGTCTTGTAGTGTGGATTGTAAAGAAGTGAGCGTCGATACTATAGAGCACTTTGTATCTTTAAGGAAGCAGCGTCAGGGTCTGTCCAGCCTTCAGGTCTGGGTTTTATGCTTGGCAGAAAATTCTCCTGTGGCTGCAGTCCCACTTTGTTCACTGCTTATTGTTTGGGACTCTGTGAAGATTCACACTGCACTTCACTCGCTGCAGGAGGAGTATGCATGATTGCTCTTTCCTGTAGAAATTGCTTGCAGGCTTCAGTACTTCAGTGTGTTTGTAAGTTATCAGCTGGATCAGGTCCCTTTGGCCTGTACTAAGCTGGAAGTAGCCCTCATCCTCTGAAACAAGTAGACAGATAACCCTTTAATACATTATTCAGGAACAACTGAGGGAAACCTTTCAGCTGCAGTGGCAGGCTGCTGTAGGGAGGTGAGGGTTTGTGCTGGCAAGTGCCCAGAGGCTGTCCCTAGTGGGTGCCCCTCGGGGCAGGGAGCAGGTGCTGGGTGAGGATGAACAGCATGAGCTGTGTTGAAGTGCACTGAAGGATGTGATAAGAAGGGTGGTGGCAGCATTAACCAGGGCAGCACTGCCTCCTGACACAAACTGTTGTTGACAGTTGTTTGATGTCATTGTTTTAACCTCCTGATGAACTCTTGAGGCCAAGTAGGGTCGAGTGTGAGGAAGGCAGACCTGACTTTGAGCACCTTTCTGGGCTGGAGCTTTCTCAGAAGTGATCTCTTGTTTGATGCTCTCCTGTCACCCTGCTGGCTTGTTTCCAGCAGTGTTTTGCTGACTCCTGTGATGGGACCGCTCAGGAGCTGAGGATGCTGTCACAGCACATTGTAATCCAGCATGCAAGTGCTGGATCTGGGATGCAAGCAGCCAGGCAATGGAAGGGCTGTGACTCTGCTGCTGCAGAGTGGAGAGCATGCCAAGTGTGCAGAGCAATGTCTGTGCCTGCAGCCTCCTAGTCTGTCCCCTGGGCTGAAGCATCAGTCTGTTCCAGATCACACTGGATGAATTCTGGAAAGGTCACTGTGTAATGTGCCCTGGGCGAATGCCATTAACCCTGCTGCCATCCCAGTTAGCAGGCCTTGTGTCTGAATCACAAACTGGCACCTGTTAGCTCAAGCAGGCATCTCTGCTAATGATTCTCTATGCTTTTGGCTGCTTGGGAGCCCAGTCTCACTGCTGCTCCTTCAGCTGAGTGCTGTGAATAATGAGGGATTTAGGAGTGCATCTCTGTTCATGTACAGTTTTCCCCAGTTTTGGTCTGACATATTTCTATGGAAGAAAAATTGTGGTTTGTTTGGGGGAAGGTGCCAAAAAAGGAACTAAATCTTAAAATGAAGCCTTTGCTTTGAGGCTTGGTTGAGCACAAGAGACTGCTGAATAATTATTCTTTAAAGGGCTGGGGGTATTTTGTCTGTGTAATCACATTAAATGAGGAAGAAGGGTGGTAGATCAGAATGGGGAGATCCTGCTTAATGGGCAGTGCTTGTCTTGATGAGTTCTTGATGATAACAAGGACTGTGAGTTACCAGTGAAAAACCAAATTGAGGAAATGCTGAGCGCAACACAACCACTGGGAGTCAGACAGGATGCCACAATGAGTTCATCCAACACCATTTTTAAGTGTACACTTGAGGTGTAATAATGCTTGGTGTCTGGCTCAAGTTGTGCGTGTAAACTATAAAACCATAGAATTATCAAGGTTGGAAATGACCTTCAAGGTCGTCGAGTCCAACCGTCAGCCTGTCCCCACCATGCCTGCTGGGCTGGTGCATGTGGTCACATGGAAAGTCTCCATAGCTCCAAAGCCAGCTGCCAGCTCACTGCTTTCACTCTGTTCTGCTTTCAGACAGCCATGATGCCGTCTTGCGCTTTAATGGGGCTCCTGTCAAAGGATTTCAAGAAGATGTGGGTCAAAAAACAACGATTCGTCTTGTTAATTCCCAGGTAGGTGTGATGAAAGTTCAAACAGACCAAGCGTGGCACAGCTCCATGTCTCTCCTCTGCTTGGGAGCTGAATCACAGAATCATCGTAGAACGGCCTGGGTTGAAAAGGTCCACAAAGATCATCTAGTTTCAACCCCCCTGCTATTTGCAGGATTGCCAGCTACTGGATCAGGCTGCCCAGAGCCACATGCAGCCTGGGTGAATCCAGCTGAATGGTGGGGAATGGCCTTCCTCCTAACAGGGACACGGGCAAACCTTCTCCCCATTGCTCAGATACCTTCTGAGGCTCCTGCATTAAAATTACCACGTGCTGGATGTTGTGCTGCTTTTCTGCTCACAGATTTTGCATATAATGTATTAGTAGGCTCGTTAAATGGCTGAAGATAAGTGCCCAAGAAATGCACTTCGGAGCATTAGCGTCCTGCTGTGCTCTGCTCTGCAGCTTGCTCCTCTCAGTTCCCCTGTGTTCAATTAGCACTCAGATGTGGGACGGTTTGTCCTTGTTCAGCCAGTCTTTTTTTGGCAGCCACATCTGGCAGCTCACATCCTTCCTCTGCCCTGTTTGACCTTTCTGTATTTTATCTTCTTCCTTTTGTGCTCTTTACGATGGCAGATAGGCGTTATCACTTGAGAAATCTTGCTCTGAAGAAAGTGCCAATTGCTGCTCTTCCTGTGATACAAAGTTGTTTGTCAGTGAAAATATGTACGTGACCTGGGTTATTTGCACAGGGAGGAGGGTAACATCATGACTGCATGAGTGTAGGATAGCACCAACAACGCCGTGTGACCTCTAGTTTTGGGCTAAGTGTGAGCACTGCTGCTGTCCCCCTTGGCAGCTCTTGTTTTGGCTCCTGCCACTGATCCATCCTCAGTCCACTCCTCAAATGAAGGAGGTGGGATGCCCTGTATCTAATCTATCAAACTAGGCTGTGTTCATTGCTGTCCCTTTGGCATGGGTGGCCAGAGGCCCTGAGTTGCTTAATAGTTGTTCTGATGTATTTTCTGTAACAAACACAACCAGCTAGATTTGGGAACAGTACCCAGTTGTTAGTTTGTTCACAAGTTGGAGATTTTTGCAGTACAGTAGGGTATCTTGTGCAGCTATTTAAGAAGGAAAGATTAATGGGGTGATCTTAGTGTCAGGGGAGAAGTTTGGGATCCTCAGAGCTGAGGATGGGCTTGTAGGTCCACAAGCTTGGTGGGTTGTTCTAAATAGAGAAATTCTTTAATGTTCCCTTGCCTATTTTCTCAGACCTTGACTGTTCCCTTTGTCCTGCTTTTTTAATGGCATGTGTTCCTGTAGTCTTCTGCAAAGCATCAATTTGCCCTGGGAAAGCTCTCACATCTTACAAAAATAAGTGCTGAGGACACTGTGGGGGGAATACTAATGTCATTATGTAGGACACGATTCCTTTCAGCTGAGCTGACCAGGGAGCAGATTACCAAGGGCTTCCTCCTAGCTCTTGTTTACAGCTCTCCTTGGCTGTGACTGAGAGTTCTCTGCCATTGCTGCATTTGCTGATATTGGTGTTAATGAGTCTGCAGGGAGAAAAAAGGAGATAGTACACCCATGGAGTGAAATAAGGTTGTGACGGCTGAAAGAGAGCATGTTTGGATTACAGGGCAGAAACTGCAGTAGCTGGAGAGCAGGAGCTCGTTATAATCTTGTGGGTAATTGTACCAGGAGGGTAGGTAGCACTAGCAAGATATTTGCTAAGCAATGAGTTAGCTAAAGAACAACTTCAACTAGTAAATGAATGGATTAGTCAGCTCATTAGAATCAAAAGACTGAGCAAGACAAATAAGTTGTGTAGCAATTTAAGTGGTGTTTAAGTACTTAGAAAGAATCAGTCCCTCTATTGACAGAACTGATAGGCACTAAAGGTATGCCTGGGCATAGGGCTGCCCGGAGCCAGAGCCCCCCTGGGCTCTTACAGCTGGGCATTGGTGCCTCTGGGCAGCCCTTGGGAGGCTGGTGTGCCTCTGCTGGCTCACGTGGCTGTGCTTGGCCCACCTTTGCTTCCTCTGCTGCTCAGCTTCTCTTGAATCCTCCTTCCACGTGTTTCACATCAGCTTTTATTTTCTTTCTTTTTTTTCCCCCTGGAAAAAATGCCTGGAAGATTTCCAGCCTTTCAATGGAAACAGGAAAATGAAAACAAAACGCCAGCTTTCCTCACCCTGTTTCTGCCCTGTGGCATCCCACCCTTACCCAGCTGAGGGGCAGCCCACGCCAGCTGCCTGGGCCTACAGGAGCTGCACTGCACTCTAGCTTTGGGGCACACTGTCAGCAGGTGACCTAGATACTGCCACTGCTGCAAGGAAATGAGGCCACGCAGTGCTTGTGCTCGAGGGAAAGCCTAATCCTCTGGAGCTGGCAACAGATGTGAGGAAACCCATTTTGCTTTTCGAGTAATAGACATCTGGGCCAGCCGCAGTGTCCCTGAGCACTGGTTAGCAGAGGCGATCAGTTTGCTGCTGGAGGCAGCCTAGATACTTCAGGGTAAATGGAGTAGCTCTTAATTAGGCCCTCTGCGAGCATGAGGAAAATGGGAGCTGATTTTTATGACAGTGAACAAGCACAGCTTGTAAAGAACTGCTGATGCAAGTTAAGCCTGAGGGCAGAGAGGGCAAAAGACCAGCCCCTGTCTCAGTGGCCTGTGCTTGCTTTTCAGGGCAAACCTGTGTTAATGCAGGTTGTTGGAGATTGTGACAGCAGTGTATGGGTGGCTGCAGGAGTCATGTCCTTGTCTGTGTGCTGTGGGACATGCTTTGGGAGCAGCAGAGGGGTGGCTGTAGCTGTGCTCAGTGGGCTTCGCTGCTCCACCGCTGCTGATGGTGATGGTGTGTATCGACGTGTTGTGTTTGTTGTGTCGTTCCAGCTGGTCACTGTTGAGGAGCAGCAGTTCCTGAAAGATGCTCTGTATAACACTGGAATCTTGATTGTCTGGGATCCAGCGCCGTATCATGCAGAAATACATGAGGTAAGGCTGAGGTTTCTGTAAATAAGATCAGATGCATGCTTTGAAGTGCAGCTTTTAGCTCGCATCTTCCTAATATGAACAGCCACTCATTTTGAGGTTATTCTTGTTTACCTCATGCGTTATGATGGGATTGGATAGCTCTGAAGATGTAAGCTAACGTCACCTCCCTGTATTAGATTTTCACTTGTGGGCATTGCAGTCCCTCTGGCAGTACAAAAGTACAAATGTTTTGCCCAGTCCCACATCTCCAAGTGGTGTAAGGATGTATGCACAGCCCGTATAAAGTCAGTGGAACCAGGATGGGGTGTTTGTGGCATAGGAAAAGGTATCAAAACAGCTTTCTGGAAACATGTCCTTCCAAGTGTTTTTACTGAACGTAAAATGTTACGATGCAAATGAGCCCAGCCTGCTTGAGGAGGTGGTGCTGTGGGAGCTCTCCTGCAGCATGGGCTGCCTTGTGCTCAGAGTGGAGAGGCGAGGGGGTCTGCAACATTGAGACAGACTTCTCAATATCGTTGGCTGTGGGGGTTGCAGAGTGAAATGATACAAGACAGCTGATTTATAAATAGTCCTTCTCTGCCAGAGGGAGGAGATATGGATTTTCCCCTTCTGTTCATTAAGGCAAGTCCCCTCAAAGACTTGAAGGGCAGGTTTGGTTGAGCAGCACGCAGCATGTAGATCCACAGGACCTCTTCCCCTTGGCAGCAGCAGGTTAACTCACTGATAGCCTTCCTGTTTGCCATTGGTTGTAGGCAAGGGCATGCTGCAGAGAAAACCATCTGACCTCTTGTTTCCGTTTTGCAGTGGTACCAAAAGCCAGACTACAAGTTTTTTGAAGCCTACAAGTTGTATCGCATTAGACATCCAGAGCAGCCCTTCTATATCCTGAATCCAAAGATGCAGTGGCAACTCTGGGATATTCTGCAGGAGAATTCCTTAGAGCATATTCAGCCTAACCCACCGTCTTCAGGAATGTTAGGTGAGATAACAACTGCCTTCTAAACTTCATGTTCAGCTTATAAGAGTTCTTCAAAATGTCATTTTCAAAGACAGCTATGGATTTATGTTGTATGAAGGCTTATCAGAATTGCTTTTGCAGTGCTTGTCTTATGCCAGAATTCAAGCATCATGTCTCAAAGGTATCATTTTGGTTGTGTTAAAATAAGCAGCACCCCTCTGGAACAGCAGTTAAAAACGTGGCCTGGTTCCATGTGGGAATAGGTGAGCAGAATGCAGCATCGAGATGTTCTTGAGGATTTCTGGCTCCTAAAACCAGAGCAGTTCAACCACATGGGGTGCAGAGAGGAACATACAGCTCCTGTGGGTTCAGATCTGATCAGGGAAATAAGTCAATAGACTTATTTATTTACTATAGATTAAATCTGAGTGGTTACCTAATATATATATGGAAAGAAAAACATACAGCTAAAGGCCTCATCACAGCACAGGGTTGGAGGTGGTCTGACTGACCGCTTTGATTCACTATGCTGATTTCTTGTCAGCATGCTAAATCCAGGCTCCCAGCAACGAGGCTCACTTTACGTTCCACCATTGCAAAGCTTTTCCTTGTTTTCAGCAGGTAAATCTCATGGCCATGTCAATTAGAAGGAACAGACCTCAGGATTCACATGTATGTTGAAGTCACAGAACAGAAGTGTGGTCTCGTTCACTATGTGGACATCAATCTGTTGCACTTCAGCCAGTATTCCACTGTTGCCTCTACTCCCATCTCTGCCAGGCACCTTCTGTATCTATGTAAAAAGATGTGGAGCTGTTGGAGGAGGCCACAAAGATGATCAGAGGACTGGAGCACCTCTCCTATGAAGATAGTTTGAGGAAGCTGGGCTTGTCTGGAGATGAGAAGGCTCCAGAGCAGACCTCACTGCAGCCTTTAGTAGTTACAGGGAGTGGATAAACAGCAGAGAAGCTGACTTTTTACATGGTCTGATAGTGACAGGACAAGGGCTTTAAACTAAAGGGAGATTTAGATTAGATATTAGGGAGAAATTCTTTACTCAGAGGGCAGTGAGGCCCTGGCACTGCTGCCCAAAGAAGTGTGGGTGCACCATTCCTGAAGGTGCTCAGGGCCAGGCTGGAAGGAGTCCTGGGCAGCCTGACCTCATGGGGGCAGCCAGCCCACGGCAGAGGGCTGGAACATAATGGACTTTAAGGACTCTTTCAGCCTAAGCCATTCTATGATTTCTGCCAGTTAAACACCTCGTTTTCTTTGCCAGCCTTGCCTTTGCACTGTACCAATTACATCATCACACGTGCAAGACAATTGCATAAGAATACAGCCATGTAATTACAGCATGGCTGTCACTGTAAACAGCTCACTGTGGTCAAATCCATCAGCTGTGTTTCAGCTGCACCGAACAGCCCCATCCAGCCTGGTGTGTTTTCTCCCACTTTCTACTGAACTTAGGAAGGAGGAAACCTTTCCCTTTGGACTGGGATGCTTCTTGCCTGGCCATTCCCCTCACTGCAGTGATTTATGTGCTCCCAGGGCCGCGCTGACGTTGGTCTCTCCCTGCACAGGCATCGTGATCATGATGGCGCTCTGCGATGAGGTGGATGTGTATGAATTTCTCCCTTCTAAGCGGCAGACGGACATTTGCCACTACTACCAGAAGTTTCACGACCGTGCCTGCACCATGGGAGCTTACCACCCTCTCTTGTTTGAGAAAAACTTGGTGAAGCATTTAAACCAAGGCACCGATGATGACATCTATACTCGTGGGAAGGTTACTTTGCCCGGCTTCCGAAATGTACATTGCTAGCAAATCAGTTTTTATTGTATTTAGACTTCTGCCTCGACCGTCGAAGCACTTTGAAAATCAGGGTTGTCACATTTGTTAGGTCTAAGCACTGGTGTGTTCTGACAGCTCTTCCACCTTGCGACGCTTAGGACTCTTTGGCATAGCTTCTCCAAACTGGAAGGCAGTGCAATGCGTTGTGGTACATCCACAGTGTCTGTGTGAGCCTCTGCAATAAATGTCTTCCTCATGGGGCTGGGCTCATGCAGCTGGTGGAGCCTTTGGCTCAGCTGATGATGCTGTGTGGGAATCACAGGAGATGCTTTCTAAGCAGAGACTGCACAAGGCTGAATCAAGTGCTGATAAAGTTCAGCTTGCTTCAGAGGGGTTCTGACAGCTGAAAGCCTGATCTGCTGAGAAACAAGAGACATTCTTTGACACTTGTTCCCATCGCCCTAGAGCTCTTTGTAGCAATGATTTAAGGAATCACTGTTAAAGCTGGGTACTGATTAGCTCAACTCCTAGTCCACAATATTTGATTTTACCATTAAAATAAGCAAGGCAACGACCTTTCAAAATACAAGGCTTTCAAATCATCCGGGTGGCATTTTTAGCATGTGAGAAGGGAGGCAATTCATGATTCAGGAATTTCTGCAAGATATTTTTAGACATTTTAATGGAGGTTTTTTGTTTTGGTTTTTTTAAAAATAATTTTAATCAAGTTTTATTGACCATTTACTTTTCCAGTACAGTGTCGTGTTTGGTACAAAAGAAGCTGTATTTTGAACATGTTTTGGTGGTGGTGTTGAAAAGCACAGATGGGAAAACTCACTGGAAGCTGGTACTTCTTTCTAACTCTCTGCTAATCTACCTCTGTAATTACTGGCAAATTGTTTTCTGTCTTGTCTCCGGTAACAAAAAATCCACATAGCAGCTGGATGGATGAGATGCAGCTCTCTACAAGCTAAGCAGGGCCATTCTCATTGCTGTTGTGTGCTTTCTGAATGCATGGCGAGCAGATACATTGCCTCCATTCTTCATCAGCAGTGAGGAAGGAGAGGGGGCTCTGTTCCCCATGCTGGAACTCAGGCAGAGGGGAGCAGGGCACCTTTTCTCTCTCATGTGGCCTCATGGTGGAAGCAGCAGCTCTGCAATCTATGTGTCAATGAGAACACCTATTCCTTTTCCATACTGATGTATTCCATGGTTATCTGTAAAGAAAACCTCTTCTCTTGTATTGAATAAATCCTGTGAAGTCACTGGCCCATTCTTACCTTGGTGAAACCAGTGTAAATATTGTTCGTGGAGCCTTGTGCCAGAGCAGGTGGGAGCTGCAACGTGCTCCTTTTGGTGAGCAAGGGGCCCTTATCTGCTCCTTGGTGAGTGTTCTTTGTTGGATCTGTCACTGATAGAGACATGTTGGGGCTTTTCTGTTTGATTTTAAAGTATGGCCCTTACTATTGCTATTGTCCAGGAGCACTTCTGTCTCATTAGGCATTTGGTTTCTTTCCTTATACTGAGCTGTTAGGGAAAGATCTTGGAGTTTCTCCTGCACACAGCACTTTACTGCTGACTTTGTTCTGTGGGTGGTGAGCAGACCTGGTTTGGGCAAAGGTGGGAAATGAACAGAGAAAAGCTGACCTCTGGGATGGTTTGGCAAAATGTATTTCTGGTGCAATTTCTGTGCGTGTAAGTCTCTGACAGCAAGAGGAGATGCAGCTTGTAAGGACATAATGCTGAATTTACCTCCTGACTTATTTTCTTCATGAAGCTGAGTATGTTAGCTAGCATAAGAGGATGCATGTGGATGAGTACCTTCTTGATGCAGCTGCTTTTGAATTCAGAAGCCCAGCAGCAGAAGGGAGACCCTGCCATGCTGTCAACGTGACACTGAAAATGATTTTCAGTGTGATACAGAATTGGATGGGGAGGGAGAAGGGGAGGAGCGAAGGAAGTTGACTGAAAGTGCTGTGCTTTGCTGCAAGTAACTTCTGTCAGAAACTAAATCTCTTTAAACAGAAACAGATACTTCCCAAAGTGCAATGAACTTGTTTTGCTGTCTGCATGCCAGTGCTGAGCGTGCAGCCTGTTTCGAAGGCCAGCATGCTTTGAAAGCTGTCTTTCTGGGAACAAACCCAGCCTGAAGTGCCTTTATTTCCATTCATGCCGAAATCTTGCAGTGCTTTTTCTGGCTGGTCCTGGAGTCCTTTACAAAAACAGTAGTACAGCACTTCCAGGAGCCCACACAGTTATAAACACTTGAAAAAAGAAGCTTTTCAGTAGATGCTGATGGATGTTTTTCATGTTAGAAAAAGATTTAGCCCGGGCATCTGTAATTTGCAGTTCCAAAGAATTCTGACATCTCATGTGGGTTGGTAAAGATGCTGGACTGGAAATCAACTTGCACTGACAGCAGGAGCTCCAAGAATTGCTGTTGCAGACAGCTATAGATGGCAGAAACCACCTCAGGGTCTTCTTGGAGAACAGGGACTTGGGAGGAGGCCTTCAAGGCTGGGTTGGGTGGAGCGCTGGGCACCTCATCTGGTGGGTGGCAGGGGGAGCCACTGGGTGGCCTTTGAGGTCCCTCCCAGCCCAAGTCATTCTATGGTTTTATGATAGGATTAGTGGGGTCGTGGGTATCTGCACATGAAAGGAAACAGGACCCTTCTCTTTGGCAGTGCGGTGAGATGGGTGACTTGCTGGCCCTGCAGGTGGCTGTGCATGTGCTGTGGCATTGGGGCTAAGGGAGCCAGCAGCAGGGGGTGGTTGGTAGGATGTTCCTCTTTATTTTTGCCCCTTGTTGTACAATACAGAAGCAGCATCTGTGGTAGAAAATGTAAGTAACTAAGAAAATCTTAGTGCAGTGGGGAAAAATAGCAAATGCGTAGCTTTGGTGGTGTGTGTGCAGGAGGAAGGCTATTTTCAAGGCTATCTTCAGCACTGTTTACCATGAAAGGACAATAAGGAAATGTCTTTAAATTCAGTTCATCAGTTTTTTGACAGAGCTGTTATATTAACCCAAGCGTGTGCTGTCCAGGAGTGGGCAGGTCACATCCACAGAGACAGCCTGCAGGGCTTCCTGGGGCTTGAGGGGTCCAGATCCAGTCCTTAAGTTCAGGCAGTAAGCTTTGGGAGTTTGAGAGGAAAGGAATTGTGGAGTCACAGAATCACCAAGGTTGGAAAAGACCTCTAAGGTCATCCGGTCCAACTGGAATCACTACCATGTGGGCAGCATCTAGCTATGCTTTCCTTTTGTGCTTGTTCAGACAGCACCTAGCTAACTCGGTTAGGAGAGGTTATCCTAAGAGACTTCAAGACTTGGCCACGTGACAGAGTTTTGGGAAGAAATGTGAGTATACAAAGAGAAAATGTAAACCATAACTGGTAGAAAACAGCATCTTGTAGGCTGACGTTGAATTCCCACATCTCAGCTCTCATGTTTGGCTGTTATTAGATGGATCTTTTTATGGGACTGAGGTTTGTTTTCAGGAGCCCAAAGCTGATCAGTACTGCAGGCTGTGCAGAAAAAGCCCTCAGCTCTCTGGATACAGGCAGTCCTACTGCATGGGTAGCAGAAGAAATAATACAGAAATACAAATTGTTTTTTTTTTTCAGCTGACAGCCTTGAAGCACTGAAAGTTTGTCACAGTTTGGAACTGTGTTAAGAACAAAAGAGCCTTTTTGAGACTGAAAGTTGATACAGTTTTATCCTTTATTCTTTTATTCTTTTACCTTGAGGAATCAGAGCCTATCAAAATACATGGCTTTCATCCATTTTCTAAAGTCAGCAGTGAATGCGTGCCATCCTGGGACCCTGCTGGAACAGGTAGTAGGAGATCTCTGGAGATGGGCCATGTCCTACTTGTATGCTGCAAAGAAGACACGTACATAAGTGTGTGCTGCTTAGGATTTGATTTTCATTTTGGCAAAGGTCACAGCAGCACCCCTGCTCCTGTAAGAAACAGCACTGGACTCGAATGTATTTGATAGATGGGTGTGATGAGCAGCCAGGTTAGCCATCTCATCCACCCCAACCCTGTCTCATTTCATCTCCTCTGGGAGAACAGTGGTTCTTGTCACTAAATTCAGGAGCAGTTGGCAATGCCTGACTGTCTCCTGGCTTAAAGGTTTTGACTGTGATGAGGTCACGTATCAGAGGTCAGCAAAGCCCACAAACGGTTCATGTTTTGCTCCCAAGGAGGTCTGAGGCTGCAGGGCCTTTGCTGCAATGCTGCGTGTTGCAGTGCTGCTGTGAGCATTGAGTTGGTGACATCGGTCTGACCGTGCGCCTAAGGCACCCCTCAGGAGTCACTGCTTGCTCAAAACATGGGCTGGAAAGTCCCACACCACGTCTTGCTTAACTGCAGGTTAAAAATTTGCTCTTTATTTACCTGCTGATGTACCTCACGCTTCAAGTATGAGGGCTCTGGCCGGGCTGAAGCTGGGACAGGGTCCCCAGGAAGCAGGCAGCTGGACAGCCCTCGCTGCAGCTCATCCCATGATGGAGGAAGGTGCTTGCTCTGACGGCGTGGTTTTCACTTGCCAAGCACTAAAAATGAAAAACCTTGACAAGTATATGGTAAAAGTCAGCAGGAAATTGCATTTTCTGTGAGAAGGGGAGTGCTGTGAATTGGGTTTCAGGAAATGATATGTTACCAATGCCACTCCTGCAGCTCAGCATGCCAGGTCCTGGCTGGCAGCTATCGGTGCCTAAAGTCAGTGCAGTTTTGCTGCAGGGTTAGTATGTAAAAGCTGTTTCACTGAACTGAATACACAACAGAAATCCTGCAGTGCCTCAGAATTAGTTTCCATTCACAAACCCGAGGAGCTCCGTGCCTGCTGCGTTAACCTGAGCGAGATGCTCCGTGATGATGTGCCACCGTGCTCCTCACATAACCAGGCTTATGGTGTTCAGTGTCACTTAAGGAGTCTGCTCCTGCTCTGATAAGACTGCTGGCTTTTATTGCCCCATCAGGTGTACATGCACCTGTGTGAGAGGAAGAGGCAAGAAGCTGGCTGCCCTCTTCTGCACTACAGGTATGCAGGAGATGTGCTGGGATATGGGGACAGGAGCCCGGCTCCTGTCTGTTTGCCATCACTTGGCAAAGTACACCCATTTTAGTACTCATCTCAGCCATTTAAATATGTGCAGGAGGGGAGAGCCGTGTTCACATCCTTTTTTTTCCCCTAATTTTCTGGCACGCTTTCTCCCTGGAAGCCGGAGCTATTAGCATTTATTCTCTCAGGACATTATGCCTCTCTTCAGCTCTGAATCACTTTTCCAATTACAAATTAATTTATCCAGCATTGCTACTTGCTGCGATGAGCAATAATGAGAAACACTCTTATCTTGAACTGAAATGGGCTAAAGGGAAGAAGGGATGTACGTGTGGTGTGTCTCCGGGCAGCTGGATGTGTGTATTTATTGCAGGAAGCAATAAGGGTGGAATCCCTCTGGAGCTGCAGGGCAGTGCTGGAAAGCGATGGTGACCCAGAGCCAGAACTGAGGGCTGACCCAGGGAGCTGCAGGCTCCAAGCTGGTTGTGGAGGAGGGTGCTGTGCTGCCTGCCTGCACCTCATGCTCACTCTGCAGACAAACCTCTGCCTCGATGGCTGCTGCTGTCTTCTGCCTGGGAGCTGGAAGACTTGTTCCCACAGGCCTAGATGGGTTTTTGTGCTTCGTATCTTAATTGCTTCATCCTTATCTGGAAATGAATTTGGAGAAGCACAGCTAAAACAAACATCCAATCTTGTTCTTGGAAACACCGATGTCTGTTTGCCAGATATGTCTGTGTCCTTCCAAGTTAATGAGCAATGCTCTGAGGCAGCGTGGGGTTGCACCAAATGGAAAGTCAGGTAGGTGGAGGCCTGGAAAATGCCATGGGGAATGGTCCAGCTCAGAATGAGCAAGGTCTCTGGATGATGGGCAGCTGTAGGGCCATCTGTACAGGTGTTCTTCTTTCATGTTCAAAGCCTCAGGCCAACAGTAAGCTGTAAATTAAACAATAAATCCTATTTTCTGCCTTAGGAAGTCAGTCAAGTGAAGCTACATTTGCAGTGTAATGTAGTAGTTTAACCTTCTGGGTTTATTTCAGAATTTTAAAGCCGAGTGTGTGTCTGTATCTGGATTAAACAGTCCCAGCAAATAGGTTTTATCTGAGTACACCACGGTGGATTCTGGCAAGTAGAGTGGATTTGGTCTGTGACTGCTTAACCACTGTAGTTCTGCTTGTGGATGGTTTGTTTCGTTTTGTTCTTCAAGTGGTTCTTCCCAGGCTGAAGAAAAGCACGACTTCTAGTACACAGCTTAATGAAAGGCTTGGGAGGACCCAGGGAGCTCTTCTGGGAGCAGTCAAATGCTCTTCCGACTTTAATTATCACCGTGATTCTCAGCAAAGGTAAGGAAAGCAAAGTTCTTCAGCCAGTGTTGCTTTATTGTCACCATGCTCCAAATAAGCACTGGTAAAACTCCTGAATATTTCCATGCTTTAGTTGATAGGCTGCAGGCAGTCACCAACAGTCGTCATTCATCTTTCTTCATCTGGAGGTGTTGCAAATGCCAGAGACTTCGTTCTCGGGGATGATATGAGGAAAAACACACCAAGATTTTTTTTCCTTCCTGCCTTTGAACCTGTGAGGGGTTTTTGTGGGTCTGAAGGCCTGCTGTAAGAGCTCACAGCAGCTGGAAGTGTAATCACTGCAGCTCAGTGCCCCCTGAGGCACTAGGGCACAGCCCAGAGGAGTTTAATGGCCCTGGGGATGGTTTTACCAAGTCATGAACAAACATGGGCTTATAGGGCAAGTCACAATACCCTCCTGCAACAGGGGAAGTCCAGATATTTACCAAACCTAAAAGAGTTATCTTGGCTTTTTTTTTCCCCCTCTACCATAATATATTACAATTGTAAGATAGCCATTTCAATATAAATGCCGGTATTTTACTTTTTGGGGGGCTGCAGTAGGAAGCACACAACTAGCAAGTGCTCACTGCTCCCCGTATGGTGCACAAGGGATGGTTTGGGCCTGACATGCTGTGCTTCCCTGAGCTGGGCCCCCACGTGCAGCCCTGCCTGTGGCACAGCCCTCAGCTCATGGATGGGGCTATGTCAGAGCATGGAAAAAGATTGTGAAACCTTCTGCTGAGATATTTGAGACCTCAGTGTTTTTCTTGCTAATTTTGAACCCGTGAGATGTTTCTCATGGCCTATTTATAGAGCAGCTTGCTCTCAGAAGGCCCTGCTTTGCAGAGCTGGCCTGAGAATCTCACTCAGAGACACCGGCCAGCACAGCCATGGTGATGTGCTGCAGCTCACACATGCAGGGTCCAGCCCCAAGGCACGCGGATGGATGCTGAAGGTGATGTTGGCAGGAGGGCAGTAGAGATTGAACCTTCCCATCAACATCCCATTGCATTTTGGTGCTGTGTGACAGATGGCAGCAAGGAGGCAGTCTGACAGAATGGTGTCTGACGTACGAGTGCGCATGAAGCAAAGCTGTGTCATTGAATTCTCCCATGCTGGTGAAAATGCACAGCTGGAGGTGGTAACTGTGCAGAAAAAAATGGTGTTTTGTAGCTGAGAATTGGCTCTATTGAAGAGTGCTGCTGTGCTCTTTGTATCTGTTGTAGTTTCTGCATAAATAATTAGGAGGCATTACTTGTGGAGCAAACTGTGTATTCCTCAGACACTGAAGGTGCTGAAAAGCAAATAAGAGTGCATGCTTGCCTCCTTGTCAGCCATCCCACAGTACGCAGCTTGTTACACTGCTGGTGAATGCTAATCTCAAATTTGGATTGGGTTCTCACTAATTGATCTGCTCCCAAATCACTGCTGTGCGCTCCTACAGGATGTCGCTGGTTGCTGGCTGCCCCTGCTCTCCTGTGTTTGTGTGCTCCTCAGGTATTCTCTCCGTGAAGCAGTGGTTACATGGGCTTTGGGGCTGCCTTTCCAACCCCTCCTGCAAGAGGAGAGCACAGGTAAGGCTCTTATCAGCCATCTCTGTAGTTATGGACCAGGACTCTCTTATCTCTTTATCCTTCAGGTAGCCCTTGCCTGGAGGCACTTGACACAGTGGTTACTTTATCTGGTCTGCTCTCTGGATCACAGTGTTCTGAACAATAACAAAGAGGGGAGGCAGAGGCAAGCCTGAACTAGAAGTCAGATCAGAAATACTGAGAAATGAGGGAAACAAAAACTGCATCACATAACCAGGGATCCTGGCTGCCATGGGGCCTGCGCTGCCCCTGCTCAGCAACCAGCCCTGCCTTGCAAGAGACCCAGCAGGGATTCTGCAGGAGGGAAACCCCTCTGCTTGGGGCTTTAGCTCTGACTGGGGCATTGCTGGCATGAGCCAAGAAAACCACAGTCAAGCCAAGTACACAGTACAACCCCCATCCCTGCAGGTGCTCAAGGCAAGGTTGGATGGGGCCCTGGGCAGCTGGATCTGGTGCCTGATTTCACGGTATGCAACTTGCCCCCAGCAGGGGGTGATCTTTAAGATTCTCCCAACCCAAGCCATTCTTTGACTCTATGATAGTTTATAGCTGGCCTAAGGGTTGTTTGACATGGGTAAATCCAGTTTAATTTGGCTGCCTGCTGCATCAGAATAATCTGTCTAGCAGAAAGGTGAATAAAGCAAGCATCTGTGGAGATGGGAACTGCTCCACAGGGTCTGTGCTGGTTAATGCAGAGATCCTTCAAACCCATCGATGCATTACTAATGGCCTGTGATTTCTGAGCTGCCTCCATTGATTTAGCTGATGTCTCACGTGTTGGAAGTGATGCACAGCTGACTTTGCAGGGTGAAGGCTGTGGTCATGGAAATCCAGAACAAGCCGGTGAGTGGAGGTTTAATCAGCAGGAGCAGCTCTCGGTGGTGGGATGCTTTTCAATGGTGGGCAGCAGGAATTCCTCTTTGGTGTTTCAGGCAGTTTCCTGGGGGAATGTGTATTAAAAATAAATAAATAAGTAAGGGAGAAAGAAAATGTTGCTCATACAGCAGTGAAAAGCAGGAAGCTCTCCTGGGGACTGAGCGCAGGCAGAGGCAGCAGCACATCTTCCTCATCCTCCTCTGAGAATCGGCAGCAGCCTGAGCTGATGGACAGCCTCATGGAAACATTTTGCTTGCTGGGAATTTCTCATGCTGCAATGGAAACCCCCTTCCTCCTTCCCCCCCTTGCTGCCAGACTTAAAATCAGAGGTATACACGGACCTATAGAGAAGTTAAATAGAGCAGAATCAAAGCTTCCCTAGCAGGCAGCACTCACCTGTGAGTAAGTATCGCATTTCCAGCAGGTGATCTGAGTTCTGTATGATAGTTTCCTCATGCTCCAATTTTATGTATTTATTTATTTATTTTTAATTCTATTTAGCCACTGGTGTAAGGCTTCACTCAGGCCGTGTGGTGGAGCAGCTGGGTTGTGGCCTGTGAGTGGGGATGCCGCAAGGGAAGAAGAGGTGTTTGCATCACGAGCACTGGACCTCAGGGCTTTGGGGAAGAGGCGCTGTATTGAATTCCTTTGGTTGTTTTAGGAAAGGAAACCTGTAGGACCCTTTGCTCCTGCTTCAGGTGAGGTCAGAAAGGCAAGCAAACCTAGACCATGCAATATTCCCTTTACTTTGTAAGGATTTTCTCTTTTCCTAAAAAAGACCTCGCAGTTTTCAATCTCATACTGCCAGGGAATGGCTTTCCAGGTAAGCAAGGCAGGTTTGAGTTTCCTTGCCAGCAGTCAGAAAGGATTATTTTCATCCTGCAAGGCCAGGAGGTTTTGCTATCCTCTCACTTCTGCACTTCTCCCTGAAGCATTTTTGCTTTCAGATATGGGACTTCCACAGTCAGTGAGGGAAACTTGAGACCTGCTGGGCAGATATTGGTATTCAAGGCACCTGCAAAGGACCTGTGCAAAACTTAACCAGGTTTCTACTTGGATTTTGTCTGGGCAACTTCCAAGGGGAAAGTGAGTGCACAGGTCTGGCCCAGGTGGCCAGTTCTCTACAACTGCTTTAGGGGAGGTCAGAAAACCAGCCCAGGTTTATTCCAGCACAGTGTTCATGTGGGGTGGCAATGGATGTTATGGGCAGGAGAAGGATGAGAGGCTGATGCAGCAAACTGTAAGAAGAGGTTTAAATAGAGGTCACAGTGGACATAGTAAATTCCTGATTGATACTGTTGCTACATACTGTGCAGAAACAACACAGTCACATTGCTGTGAAAATACGCAAGATGCATTTTCAGTATTGGCTGCTGTGATTGCTTGGTGATATCCAGAACCAGAGGGAAGGAAAGTTCTTCAGGCCGAGGTGAACACTGCTGCTGTTAGAAGTCAGCTTCAGAGGGCTGGTGAGGCAAAAAGCCACAGCAGTGCTGCTGTGTCTCTGGAGAACTTCAGCCTCTCAGCCCTCGCAGGGTGCCACGAGGAACCGGATGGATGGCAGGGATCTGCATGATGCCAGGTAGCCAAGCTGCTGCTGGGGTCTGGGTTTCTTTACACCCAGGAGGGCAGTTACCAGGCCCCTCTGAGTTTTATAAATCATAGAAACATAGAATAATTATGGTGGAAAATGACTATAAAGATCACAGCTTGGCAATAGCACCTCCTGCAAGGCCCGGCAGCCCCCCAGGCTGCGATCGCTGCAGCTGGAAGGCTTTCTGGCTGATGCTGCAGGCAGACAAAGCCCAGTTAGCAGCAGGGAGCAAAAACGGAAACTGATTTAAAAATAGTTGAGATTAATTTGAGGAACAAAAACATACCCCACTTATTCTTCAGATTGGGAAACCTTTCTGGAAGGAAATGAGCATGCCTGCAGGCTGCGGGCAGGGGGCTATGGGGGCTCCGGCAAGAGCAGCTGCACATTTCTTCCATGACCACAGAATTCTTGGCACTTGGTTTCTTGTCTGGGACAAAGTGTGATTTTATTGGTAGTGGAACACCTTATGCACAGGGAAAAATACAACAGCCTTTGGAGGGCTTTAGATCTTCCTGGTCTCTTGGCTGCACTATGGGAGGGAGGGACCAGCTCACAGGATTGGGAAAGACCTGTCGTCAAGTTTAATCATCGCCTGGCCCAGCCAAGCCCACTGCCAAACCACATCCCCATGTACCGTGCCCACACATCCCTTAAACAGCCCCAGGGATGGAGCCTTCACTCCCTGAGCAGCCCATCCCAACACCTGCTTCCTCACATCCCATCATTCGCTGCCTGAGAAATGAGACCGCATGAGATGAGCACTGCTGTGAGCATTTGTGACGTGTGCCATGTCTGGTGCCCCCAAAACTCCTGCACCCATTTAGAAAAGGATTGAAAAGTACCTCTGCTGCGCGAAGAGCAGAACCTCCCCTGTTCTGCACCCTTTGCAGATGAAAACACCCGGGGTTCCTTAGAAGAACTGAGTTTTGAGGGCAGGCCTTTGCTGAAGCCTTTGAAAGAAGGTGATGGCCGTGGCGCCTGCTTAAGGAATTGCTGTCACTTTCCTTCTCTCCCCTCCTCCTTGGTTGAGTCGATCTGTATTTTAGCCACAAGGTGGCACACGGTCCTTCCCTGGGAGATCAGAACGGGATCGCAGGACAAACGGTTTTTGTTCAGATACCCGGAATTCAGGCTGAGCCACTGCTGTTCCCAACATAAAGCCCAGGCAGACAATGCCTAGGATGGCTCAAGTCATTCTTAGGACATGGCAGAGGGAACACCTGAACCTTATCTTGTGCCAGGTTCACAGAACCTTACTGCTGTTACCCTGGTGCTGGAAGAATAGAGGTGATTTCCAAATCGATGCTTTGGTGCTGGTTTTTTATTTGTTTGATTTTTTATTTTCAAAACCCATGCACGGGTGCCAGGTTGATGTCTGGCTTTGGCTAGAGGGAGCCTTGTCACCCCAGTAATTCCCAACAGCCTCTAACAGCAACAACAGTCTTCAGGTGAATGAAGGCAGCAGCACTGTGCAAATTACCTTCTCTTTCTTATCCATAATAAGACAGGTAATAATCCTCCTACTGGACTAATTACTCCCAATGAAAACAACTCCCACTGACAGTATTTGAAGAATTAACCACTTACGTGAAGAAGAGTGAACAGTGATTGTTATTTTGCACGTGGCTCTCTCCTGCCCCATCTATTGTGACCTCAGTAAGTCTCAGTGTAATTAATCACAGAGGATTAAACGCTGCAGGGGAAGGAGCAGGAAATTATGTAAAGACAAAACACCGGTTGGCTTTGACTTGCCATAAATTTGGGTTATCTGTCTCAAAGAATACATTTCCTAGTCTGCCTCGTGTGGAATAAATCTACCCAATTAGATTTGTTTCCATGAGAACTGTACAGATAGGGAAGACCGGAGTATTCCCAGGTGTGTATGGAGCTAATCTAGAAAGGCAGTGGCTGTGGATGAGCTGGGTTGGCTCCTCAGGTATTTGAGAAGCAGAAGAAAGCACACAGATGCCTCAGCAAGCAGCAGAGAGGGTAGGGCTTGAGTGCTCATCTTTAAAAAGCAGAAACCAACCTCAGAGAAACTGAAAATTCAAGTTTGTCTGTATCAAAGCGGAAAGAAGGTGTTAATTTCGCACTGAGGGCTAGCAGTAGAAGGGTCAAGATCCTTAAAAAACCTCAGGTCTACCACCAGCCTTAGAGGCAAGAGGTCTCCAAGGAGAGATTCCACTCTATTCTCTCTCTCTCTCCAATTCCAAGGGCTTCACTTAGTAAACATTTTCCTGCCATTAACCACTGCATTAGTTGCCCTATAACAGGTCAGAGCATGGATCATCAGAGAGGGTTGATAATAGGCTGTGAAAACAAAGGAACACATTAATGGATTCTTTCTTGCCTCTTTCAAAACCCATTAAGGCTTCTCTAAGTGTGCTAAAAGCCAAAATGCTCCATGCACTCAGGGGGCTGCATGCATTGAATGTCTGAAATCTGAAGAAATGACTTCTTCAGATACACATCTCAAAGCCTCTGCCAGGCAGCTGCCATTTGTTAGCTTACCAGATCACTTCTTGCACTCCTAGCCACCAACCAAGCGCCCACGCTGAGCTGACACCAGCTGCCCCTTACCCTATGGAGGGTGCCCACGTGCCACTAATGGCTCTCCTAGTGCTGCCCTGTGTGGTTTGTGATCATCCCAAGTGCTCCTTTGTGGCAGTTCTCTGGGGGATTGCCCTTCTGCTTGGGTGCAAGGAATGCAGCTTTGGTGTGGGCAAAGCCCTTTGGCTCAAGGCACCAGCAATGACCTGGCCAGACCCAGGGCCCTGAACTCCTGCATTCCCATCCTGAAGACCAATCCTGAAATAAGATTACTCCTGGTGCTCTCTCTCTCTCTCACTTTGCAAGGGGAGATTAGCAGCAAGCCCAGCATAACTCTCAAGTGGAAGAAAAGTCCTCCAGCTCAGCCACATTTTTGCACTTCCGGCACAAAATCCAACAACTCTAGAGGCAGCATTTTCTTGAAGTGCAAGAATCCATAACCCGGAAAACTCATTGCTTCTTGTGCCAGGTTTTGGCTGATGGCAGCAACGCCAAGAATCAGTTTGGAGAGCTGGGGGTATTGAGAATCCTGGGATAGCTTCGTACTTGCAAGGCATAAAAACATCCCCGACATGGCTTGCAACTCTCCTGCAGTAGTAGGATGTGGTATTGCTCTAAGCAGCAGGGCTTAGAGAGCAGCAAGCATCCAAATGTCATGGGAAACATCACTGCCCACACACTGCAGGGCTGTCCAAGTCCTGGAGAGGCTGCAGGTCCCCACTGAAAACCCTGAGCTGCTAACAGTGCTATTTTCCACTGAGTGTGGCCATTTGTTCCAGCGTCCAACAGAATGATTAGAAAAACAGAAGTGTTAAATAGCTACTCCTAAACAGACTGAAAGCAAGATGAAATCCAATAGTGGTGAGTGGTTCCTTTTTCCCTCTTCCACAACCCATTGAATTAAGCATGTAACCAAGCTGAGCTGATTGCTTCTCTGCCTTAAGCGTGGTTTTTGGTGAGATTTACTGGCACCAACCATTTCTTAATGCGAAAAAGTCAGCCCAGCAGTGAAAGTGCCACTGGGGATTGGTATCAATGCAAGGGGCACAAGGAGCACCTGCAATTGGTGTGGGTACATGAATTTTGGTAATGGCAAAGGAAATAGGGCACTTGGGGTGAACCTGGAGAAGGTGGTGGTGGTTTCTGCTGGGGAAAGCAGTCCTCTGCAGCTCCCCTTATCAGTGTGTTAGCCAGGCTGCTGTACTTCGACATCACATAGACAGCCTGGGATGTTTAGGTGGAATTAAGACAGCTCTCTTGCTGCTCCCTCTCTCTTCCTGGACAATACTTCACCTTCAGCCATCCCCAGCCAAGAAGACTGATGGGATGCTTCTACATTTCAGCCGCCCGCAACAGTTTCCCTGCCCCCAAACCAACGATACTGCAATGAATGGCTATTTTAAACAACGGACAGTGGCAAGAGGTGAAGCACCGGGAGCCCAAATAAGAGGCTGTTGTGGTTATTACAGCAGCAAAGCTCGGGCCGATTTAGCAGGCACTTCACCTACACCGAGTGCAGCCCTGCCCCCAACAGGCAGCCGATGGCATCGAGGTCATGAGAAGACGTTAATCTGCAATCTCACCATCTGTATCGCTAGCATCTGGAAAATGTATTGCGGCCAGATTCTTGCACAAGGGAACTGAGGGGAAGTTTGCTGCTTTCCTGAGTAAGAAATCGCGGTCAAAGGCTCTCACACAGGTGAAGTGTCAGTGCGAGGCAGATGAAGCCCCAGGCACCTGTTCCTTGTTACATGGGATCCAGCACATTTGCTGGCTCTTCCCTGCACTGTGCACCCCCTGGCTCCTGCAGCAGTTGCTCATGGACGGCATCCTCTTCACCAGATTTCCTGCTCAAGTCTTGTTCCTTCTTTCTAGGAAGTGCAGAGGTCTTCACATGAGACTCCATGAAAGGCACATCTATGCTGACAAAGCTGTCTTGGTTACAGGAAGGGAATTGGGAGAGGAGCCAGTGGTGGTCTGAGGTCAGTGGCTTTGTGTCACACTGCCTCCAGTTCTCCATGTCTCACCTGACATGGGTGTCGGGGACTCTGGAAGCCAACACATCCAAGCAGCAGAGCGTAGAGCTGAGCTTCCCAAACCACACTTTCCCCACGCTGTGTCCACGCAGAGGGCACATGTGCCTCTCTCCCAGAGGCTCTGCCCTTCTGCCACATCCACGCTCTCTATTGCGTTGTGCTATTCTGTTGTGCTCACTGTGTGCACACTCAGTACAGCTCCAGAAAACAACAGTAGATACTTAGAAGCATGCTTCCCTATGCCAAAAAAAAAAAAAAAAACAGAACACACATGAACAACTCAGTCTGATTGCTGACATATTACACTTCACAATGCATCACCCAGCAGGCTCAGGGCAGCACCAGTTGCTTTGAATCCACTTATTCCAATTGCAGAGTTTGATTATATTGAATGCTTACTAGCATGTACAAGAAAAAAAAAAAATCTGTTGTCATTGGCTGGTGTCATCACCCAGCCCGGGCAAAGTCCTTCTACATCCAAAAGATTGTACCACAACATAGCCTTCTGTATTATAATTACAGGACTAGATCTTCATGGTTGAAGTGTGGGAAGGAATAGAAATAAGGCCGAGGATGTTTGCTTTGCTGCCTTGTTAAAGGTGGTACCATCAAAGGTCACTCAGTGTGTCACATGAAGTTTGACATCATCCCACGTAGGAATTCCTCCTGTTTCACACCACAACCAAAACCACACTGTCTAGTCTTGCATAGTGCACTATATTTTATCAACACAAAAACAGATGTAATGTGCTAGCATCTTTCCATCCTAGGATGTGGTATGAGGCTGAAGAAAGTGTAAAGAGCTGAGGAGCTCTTTAAAGAAAAAGAGAGTGGATTTTTCTGGTTTTGTTTCTTGTAACAAAGTCATCCACATCTCAGAACAGGCAGACTACTCCTAGTAAAGCTCACCTGAGATTCAGTAGGCAAAAGTCCTGCATCACTGTCCTCTTGGCAGTGAATGGCTATAGTACTATAGCCCAAGTTGTAATCTACAGCTGTATGGATAGGAAGCTTGCAGGGCCTTTTTGCGTGCCCTCGAAGGACCAGAGCTCCTGCAGGGAAATGCCTCATTGTTGTGAATTGTAGGAGCCGAGACTGAAGCCTCTTGTTTGGCAACCAACCCAGCAGACCCATTGCAGTGCTGCATTGCTATAATATGATGGAAAGTACAGCAATAATAGCAGAGTAGCAAAATTTAAGGCTACAGCAAATGAGAACAAATCCAAATGCAGCAGCAGCAGCAGCAGCAAATACAGAAACAAAACCACAACAACAACAACAACAACAACAACAACAACAACAACAACAACAACAACAACAACAACAACAACAACAACAACAACAACAACAAAACCTGCTTACCTTCAGAAGACCTCAAGTAGGCAGAGATCTCCAGCAAGATACCCTCACCTCCTATACCAACCCTTAAATGAGGTCTGGGAAGGGCTGGATCCTGGCTCCTCCCTTCCAATCACTCAGATACAGTGCATGCACCTGAGCTCCCCTGGGTTGGCCCTGCCTTTCACCAGGTGCTCAATCACTGCTTCAGGCCATGACTTGCATTTCTGCTGCCTGCCCTCAATGGATGGGAGCATAGGGCAGAGCAGTTGTGCGACTGCTAAGTACATAACAGTGACCACATTATTGAACAACTGCCAGCACTATTTTTCTACTGGTTTAAGTAGAGAAAAGTCGATGGTGTTTTCAGTAGAAAACTCAAAGACCTTCTAGGCTCAGTGACCTCAGTGTGTTGATCAGCATGTTTACATGCTCGCTCCTTTTCTGGCTCCCAGGGGAGAAGCTCTCTGTTCTCCTCAGGTTAGAGCAGTTCTCCCCAGCACCAGGGCTGCCGTATGGCCCCAGTAGGTCACTGATCCCAGGTGCAGGCTGTCCCTTGGCTTTCCACTGCACTGTGCCTCGTGATGGACAGGACTTCTCCCCAAAATGGCCTTCAGGACCCCACAGGTAGACCTGTGGACAGGACACATGCCCACACCGTGAGAGCTCCTCATCCTGCAAGAGCTCCCCACCGTGCAGTGAGACACCACAGCCACATGTTGGTGGGTGACAGCTGTGCGACCTGTGAGTCACTGCCCTTCCTGTCCCACTTTGCATGGCAGAGTTCATGCCTGAGCACACACACTGGGGTGAGTGTGGGCACTACCAGCTTGGAGACAGCCAAGGCTGAAGGCTTTGCTTTCCCCACAAACAAAGTCAGCAGGAGAAAGCAGAGCACTCGTGCCCACCTGGATGGAGAGGAGACCTCTTTGGGCCTGGTGAATGGTGAGCGCAGCTACAGCAAATTGCTCCTTTCAGCCTGGTGTCATCATTCTATTGCTGAAACAGCAGGGTCTGTGTGTAGAAGTGCATATGTGGCAATGTGGCTGTGTCCTGTGCTTCATAAGATTCCTTATAACAGCTTAACTTGCTTCACTGCCAGTGCAAACACTAGGTGCTCCATCACAGGGGGCATGGGCACGACACCCCCAGCCCCAAAGGAGCAGTCTGGCTCCAGGCTGAGAACCACCTAACTTGGATGATTCATTACCACACTGGTTTCTCACCTTCTGCGGACACAAACATGCTTATCAAGTCTCCCAAGGAAGGAAATTATGCTGCTGTGATAGTTTCCACTGCATCATTTCTACCAGACACCGAAGCCCACTGCTACCCTGAACCCCCAGGGAACTCTTTGCTCCCTTCCCCTGTGCCTTTTTCCATTCAGCACATCCCTGTGATTTTTATGGGGTGAATGCAAGGTATGTAAGCCTCTGTGTAAGTGGAGCAGTGTGAGTGGGTTTAATCTCCATGACCTTCTGTTGGGTGCCCTGATCTGCATCTCCGGGGCACCCACTTTGTGAGCGAGTGGAGTACCTTGTGCACTCTTTCATGAACAGCCAACCACTGACAGCTGCCCTGCAGCACAGAAATGTTACAGCTGGTTGGGTACTGAGGGTCAGTGGGCAGCGAGGCCATTCCACACCAGCCCTAAGGCATGCTCATTGCTAACACCAGTAAGACAGTCCATCTCTGGGCCCTTTGGGGTTTACAGATGCCTCACCCTCATCCACTTCTGCCAAAGCAGGATCTGACAAGTGAAGTTCTACCCTAAGACTGTGGCAGAGACCCCCAGGCCCATGGCCAGCCTGAAGGCAGGGGAGCAGCTGCAGCCCTGCCATCACAGACACCTGCTGCTGCACCACTGTCCCATGCAACAAACCCATCCCAAGGGGCTGTTGGAGCAGCCACGTCCATCTGAGGAGGCTGCGAGATGTTCTCCACCCTAGGGATTGCCTGTGCCATGCACTGAACTGCCTAGGTCTGCACAAGGATGGCCTTGCACCTTTGGCTGCTCAAGTGAGCCAGTAACAGATGTTGCACCTTCCTGGCTGTGCCCAGCTTGGCTGTCAGCACAGCAGCTCAGCTCTGCATTTACTGAGTACAACTGCTAGCCAATGACCACAGTTCTAGGTAGTGCCAAGTGATGAGGCACTGAGTCCTCATGGAAAACATTACAGCCAGCAGATGATCTTATCTTTCAGAACAAGCAGACATGAGATCCTTCCTCATGCAGGAGGAGGAGGTGCTATAGAAGCCTTCAAGTACTTGCGAGCTGTCAGTTCAGGTGATCATGTGTGCCTGATCACAGCCCTTCTTGCCCTCCTCCTGCTAGGTTGCTGCCGGGACCTGCTGTGACTCTGTGGCTTTATACCTGCAGGTAACTTCACCCTGTCTTGTTCTCTTGCTTTGCCTGCTGTGGTGGGGAGGAGGTGAGGAAGCTCAGTGCCTGGCTTCTCTGATTCAGCACAGATAATGCCGCGCATGGTCCTGCTCAGCAGCTGTACTGCTGAGATGTTCCTTTCCTGTGCTTACTGCAGAAGAGCAGAGCAGGCTGCTTTCTAACAGCAATTGGTGGCTAGAAACTAAGCTATTCCCATTGTCACCCCAGTGGGTACTGGCCACCACCTGTGTGTGCTGCTGTGACACCTGTTGTGTCCCCAGCCTCTATCTCACTTGCTTTCTCCAAGCTCCCTGCTTAAGGCCAGGTAAGAACTGGAGAAAAATGTGCTCAGTCCTGGTCTTGCTCCCACCTCCCAGCTTCCCAGCCTGCCACAGTCTGTGGCAGACACAGTGCTGTGCTGTGGTGTTGTCCCTCTGGCCCCAGCCTGCTCCCACTCCTGCAGGAGCACTGAGATGCTCTGTAACTGCAGCCATCAACTCATCACCTCTGATCCACATTAAGCATTTTCCGCAGCTGGAGGATGTGCTAGTTTATCGCACAACATCTCTGTGAAGAAGCTTACTGTTCACCCATACTTTATCTGTGTCTGCTTTCACACCCTCTGTCAGGTTCCTTCCTCTTCCTGCAGCCTGTGAGCTCCTGGCCAGCAACACTTGCAAGCCCTAAGCTGCAAGGCAGGTTGCTGGGAACTGCATTGGGACCACATCTTCAGCTCCAAAGCCAACATCAGCCAGAGCCCTTCACGCTGCAGGGCACACTGGTGGTTTGCCTGTGCTGTACTTCAGCACGGAGGCTGTGCTGGCAGTGCACACCACAGCCAACATAAAGCAACCTGGGAATCAGCCACACCTGCAAAGATGTGGTAAGCTTGACATGGCAGCTGCACTGTGGAGGAAGGTGTTTCCCTCCTGCTACTTAGTGAGGTTCAGAGAGGTTTTCCTTGGGTGACAGCTAGCAGGCAGCAAGCAGCAATCTCTGTTGGGAAACCCAGACTTGAGCACGTAATAATCATGTGAGAGCTCTGTGCAGGAGTCACATTAATGTCTGCTGGTGATGCTTGTCTAACCCCCTAGCATTTGAGGCATTTATCAGTTAGCAGCCCTGCAGCTGGAGGTAGCACGCTCACCATCTGAGATGCTTCAGATGCTCTGTGTTCTTCTCAGGGGCAAATAACTGCTTAACCAGGGCTCTGCTGTCACACTGTCCTCCTGCATCTCTGAGGATTTCACCAAATCGCCCACCATTTCATGGAGTGGTAAAACCTTGCTTTAAAAATCAAACGTTATATTCTTTCCAATGTGCACTGAGATGCAAGCAGAAGTTCCACAACATCACTGATTCAGAGAAAACCCTTGGTGTAGGACACACAGAGCTGCTTTGCATAAGATGGAGCCTGACAAAAGCTGGTCTTATCAGATCTTCATACAACCAGCACTGCTGTGAAGCATCTGGCAGCCAGTGAGGCAGAGGCGCAGGACCTACTCTTATGTCTCATGGGTTTCCCAGGGTGTTTGCCCTGAGAAGGAAACACTTAAGCCCTTACTTGCAGCTCCTTGTCACGCACAACCATTTCTTCTTTCGGGTAAGTCTTTCTGCTTTACATCTGCAGACTTTCACTCTCTTCTGGAATGAACAGATTTAACGTTTGTTCAAGCCTTCCTTCCCTGCAGTGAGGATGAGAGCAGCGTGCCTCAATCACTCCCTTTGGGTTTTGTCATGCCTTTGGGATGCAGGACTCAGATGCTGCTCTGTTTTCCTCAGCTCGGAGCAGGAGCAGCAGGTCCAGGAGACTCATTAGAAGAATTTCTGCTCAGGGGTTATGTATACTTAGTGCTGACTGCTTCAATCCCTGCCTATCTCAAAACCGAGTCTGAATCATTTTGCCTGCACAGGCTGGCTTACAGAATTAGTACTGACATTATCACAGGTTGTCCTGGTATCCATGTGTTCTCTTCTGCATGTCATTTCCCCGCTCATTCAACACCTCCTATTTAATTGAGGCTGCCTGCTGTGTCCTATTGGAAGTGCTCCCAGAGATATTTACTCATAAACTGAGTAAACACAAACAGAGCTTGAGACAGATCCATCCCAATTACAGGATGACTGAGAAAGCTAATCCTGTGGACCCAAATTCACATTTATAACAGAATAAATATTTCCTTAAATGACTTTTTTTATAGGAACCACGCAGCTATTGAGAGGTAGGAGGGTCTTACCATTTTTCCCCATTTCAGGTCTCAGACCATCACATGCCATCCACATATCAGGACAATGAATGAATCCAAGAGCTGCAGTCTCACAGACATAGAGGTGAATCCCCACGTTCATCTCACTGAATTTTCTCTATATATCCTCACTTTCTTTTTTGGAGTGATTTTTAATGTCCTCGCCCTGTGGGTGTTCTTCTGCAAAATAAAGAAGTGGACAGAAACCAGGGTGTACGCCATCAACTTGGTCTTTGCCGATTTCTTTGTCATCTGCACCTTGCCTTTCATGGCATATTTGATCTGGAAAAAGTCAGTCCGAAATGAACTCTGCCAGTTTATAGAGGCAATGTACTTCATCAACATGGTAGTGAGCATCTACATCATTTCATTTATCTCCATCGATCGGTACCTGGGCATAAAGCACCCCCTGAAAGCTCGGGCCTTCAGGTCTCCATCCAAAGCTGCTCTTCTCTGTGGGCTCCTGTGGCTCGCTGTCACCATTGCAACCATCTTAAAACTTCAGCAGAGATATGCTGACTCCTGCTTTCAGTACGATGCCAGCACTCCCACCGCTCTGATACTGCTTTCCATGTTCTTCATTTTCACTCTTCCCTTAGCAACCTTGACCTTTTGTTCCATAGAAATCATCAGGAACCTTAGGAGACAGCTGAAGACAAACTCACCGGAGAAGAAGTCAATCCAGAAAGCTCTTTATATCATTTATGCCAATCTGATTGTGTTTCTGTTATGTTTTCTGCCATCCCACCTCCTGCTCATTGCCAGGCTCATAACGAATCACACTGAAACTACCTGTTCCCTGAACTACTTTTTGAAGAACGTCTCCTCCATGACGCGGTGCATTGCCACGTCCAACTGCTGCCTGGACTGTGTCTGCTACTACTTTGTGACCAAGGAGTTCCAGGACGCCATCCTGCTGCCCAAGTCCAGCGCTGCCAGAACAACGCAAACCCATTCTGTGCAGACACACGTTTGCTAAAAAAAGGAGAAACTAAACAAAACGAAACCACAACGAAACCAACACATTCTACCATGTCAAGAGGAGATATGGCTGCGCTGTCATGGGGATAACCATCCCCCTTTCACTCCAAGGAGAGCTTTGTTATGTGTATCATTGTTAAGCTGTAATTTCTACCCTGTGTTTCTGTTAAGCTGATAAAACATTTTACATAGAGGTGCCAAAGTGACTCTGCAATGGCAGTGCGTTAACGTTCCCTTCCCCTCCATGTGTTACTCTTATGGGAAGAAGGGTGGCCCATGTATGTCAGTCATGCTGTTTTATTTCACAACTAAAGTCAACTCAACCTAAAACACAAAAGCCAACAAAAAAGCCTGTACTGTGCTTTATTTCATGGTGTATCTCAGATTGCTTGCATTGAAACAATCTGATGGTGCCAGGCTGGACCCCAAGTTTGCCCTGCTGGCAGCAGTGCAGGCTCAGGGTAGCATCGCACAGCTGGACACAACTGGACTCAGCTGGACTTCCACAGCCTGCCCACACTGTCACCTCCCACATTTCCATGGGTATAAAGCATTTGTGGTATGAGTAAGCAGCTCAGAAAAGCCACTCGGGAGAACAAGGGGGAAGAGAGGGTAGGGGATGATCCCCTGTGTGTTCTTCTTTGCTGCCTAGGAAAGGGCTTTTTTCTTTCTAAATACTGACAAATCTCAGTAACTGCTGCCAAGTGCTGCCCAGGCACTGCCTGAAGAGAGCAGAGCACCAGAAATTGCTGTGAGGGAGCCCTGCTGTGTCCTGAGCCCTCCCTGCCCATTTGCACAATTTCCCCACCTCCTGACACCCACAGAACTCTCCCCTCCATGCCAGTGTCTCCTACCTGTGCCTGGTTGGCCATGATTGCCATTTCTGGTGTGGCTTATCCCATCACATCGATGAGCCACGGTAAAGAAGCATCATGCAGAGGACAAGCAGGACCACCACATCTGCCCTCACCTTCCAAACAAACAAACAAAAAACAACAAAGAGCAACATGCCAGGACCCTTGCTCTGGGCCCACTTTTTCAGGTGCACAAGCACTAATGTGCCCCCTAGGAAAAGCCACTGCTCCTCCCTCTGCTTACTCTGCAACCACACCCAAGGCAGCACGGTATGCTGGGCTCCCACTGGGTCCTTCTGCTGCCAAATGAGCAATTTGCAGCCATTGTGGGTTTTATTTTAGAAAGGGTTTGGTTTCAGACCACTGAAAATATTAAATTTTAATTGCTCGCTCGCGTGCATGGAAGCAGAGGGAGAGCAGGTTGGGTGCAAAAACGAATGGTGGTGAAGCACTGAGCTGATGGAAGAGGAACAACAGAGGGCACCAGAGCCTCAGCCGTTCTGAAGAGGAGGTGGTAAATGAAGCAATTTTGGGGAACAAGAGCTCATTACTGCGCTCCAGCGCTCCTGAGCTGTCAGCAGCAGGCTCCTGGGCAGCTCTGCCCAGTACAGCATCACCCCACTCAGCATCACTCTGCACAGCACCCACACCCCTGGCATCTCCTGAGCAACTGCGACCTGCCCGAGGACCTGACCCGAGGACAGCCCCACAAGAAGCAGGTAAATTTCAATTCTTCTTGCACAGTTGTGTGGCAGTGTGCTCTGTTTCCTGAGCTCCTTCACAAAGCGCTGCCCAGGGCTCCCCACTTGCTAGCAGGGGTACGGAGGTGCCTCAGTCTCTTCCTGCCTTCACTGATGTGCTCTGCTGTTTGGCAGCCACACATGCTAGCTATCCAGGGAGGTCGTCATCCCATGCTGTGGCCATGCACCACTCCTCTCCACGCACCTTCTGTGAGGGGACACCCTGCTCTGGGTACACTGAGGCATGGGACCACGGGATTGCTGTGGGCTCAGCACTCACATGGAGGATTCACAGGGCTCAGCTGCTAGGTGGGACAGTGATTTGCAGGCAGAAAGCAGCACTTCCAGTGCAGGATGGTGACAGCGGGCTGGCAGGGAACAGCTGTAGTGTGGATAGTAGCACTGTGCAGCCAAGGACCTGGGATGCTGGAAGCTCACAGGAGCCAGGACATTGGCTGCATGTCAGCCCTTCCATATAAATTCAATTCTGAAAACTGTATCTCTGTAATACCACCCCAACTCTGGCACTGGGGCAGGTGCTGAGCTTTTTTCTGGCATTGTCAGATCCAGCTTCCAGTTTTGGACACTAAAAATGATCCATGTAGTTCATGCAGTCAGACTGTTTCTCCACAGTTTAGATATTAGGCCTTAAAAGTCACTGACTTATAAGGCAATGTATCTGTAACAGATGACAGGAATCTGATTGTTTTCTTTTCGTGCTTCTCTGTAACTGCAGACCGAGTCTGATTCACCCTCCCTGGTCTTTGCTGCTAGTGGATAGTAGCAGATGCCCTGAACTATTTACAGAAGCATCAGGAGATAGGCTAGAATCTCCAATTTGTGTTTTCTGCACTGGCAACAGTTTGGCTTCCTATGTTGAAGGCTGAGATCAGACAGGCATGTTCATTTTCCCCTCCTAGTGTCAAGCCATACATCTCCAGCAGCCTGAAGGAGGAGTGGCAGTGCCCATGGCATGCACTGTGCTCCAGGAGTAAAGCCACCAGAGCTGTCCCACGACTGGAAGGACCTGAGTCCTGTGTGAGTTCATGGGCATAGCAAGACCCAACAAAGCCATCGGGTGGCTTTGGCAGTAAAGCAAAGGAGGAATGCTGCCCTGCTCTGCTTTGAGCTGTCCTGAAGCAAGAGAGCCAATAGATCTCCAATAGCCACAGAAGTGGAGAGGTAAGGGACTACAAAATCCTGCTTTGGAGACCCTCTGCTGTTACCAAAACTGTGTGAAGGTGGATGTAGGGTGGACAAGCCAGGCCTGCAGTCAGATGAGTTGCTGTCCCACAGTAGTTGCAGGAGGGATTTGCTTCTGTTTTTTTAGCTGCTGTGAAGAGCCACTGAGCCCGTGCAGGTCTGCATCCCCAAAAATGCAACTGCTGTGCACCAGCAGAGCCCCAGGAGAGCTGTGTGCCACCCTGTCCCACCCACAGCCCTGACTCATGCAGTGCAGAGGAGCCGGGAGCCGTGGAGCCACGGCTGAGGGCGCTGCCATGGGACCCGGCCCAGGGGATCCGTCCCCGAGCTTGGTCTGTCACCTGCACCCTTTTCTTACAGAGACTGCCCGCCATGTCGAACTGCACAGAAATCAGCAGTGTGTTGCAGGATCGTGTGATGCTATTTCAGCTGATTGTCTACATCCCAGTCCTCGTTCTGGGGCTCCTGCTGAACACCATCGCCTTCTGGGTCTTCTGCTGCAAACTCAAGAGATGGACTGAGACCCGGGTGTACATGATCAACCTCATGTTTGCAGACTGCTCCCTGCTCTTCACCCTGCCTTTCCTGATATATTTTACCAAGAACAAATATCCCATAGACAAGCTGTGTTTTGCCATTGAGGTGATACATTTTACAAACAGTCCTATGAGCATCTTCATCATCATGCTGATTGCCATCGATCGATACATTGCAATCAAGTTCCCTCTGAAAGCAAGAACTCTTCGATCCCCACTGAAATCAGCCTGTATCTGCGGGTTCCTTTGGATAATGCAAATAGGTTATTCCTACTTGAGCATGGTTTCTAAAAAAAAGAATGAACATTTTTGCTTTCAGAAACATTCTACTGAGCCTGCATATTTAATATCAATCTCCATTTGCTTTTGGTATTTTATTCCCCTATTGATCATAATTTTTTGTTCTGTACAAGTCATCAGATGTCTCAGAAAGAAGATGGCCAGCAGCCACCGTGAGACAAAGCTAATCCAGAAAGCAATCCACGTTATTTCTGTGAATCTGTGTGTGTTCATTTTATGTTTTTCACCAATCTACATTGCATCACTTCTGCGACTCGCAGCGGAGCTAGCTGGAGCTTGTCACCTGCTTTCAAAATTTAGGGTTTCTATTCAGATCCTTTCATGCTTAGCCAATTCCAACTGCTGTCTCGATGCATTCTGCTATTACTTTGCAGCCAAGGAAAGTCAGGAATTTCCCTCTCTGCTCCCCACTTGTATATCATTGAGGTCTAAGATGAACCAAAGCCAAGAGTCACAGCAACCCACAGATCAAGTCACACCATAGAAAAAGGACAGTGCACTATAGACATTAAGACCAAACTGCTGCACAGGTTCTGAGGCAGAGGGAATGGGACCACTTGCAATTGCTCTGGTATGGGCATTTCTGTAGAAAGGGGTTTGATAATAACTTGAATTTTGTCCTGCTGCTCGCACACTTAAATGCAGCTGAGATCATTGCCTTCAATAATTGTATCACAGGTTCAGGTGTCTCCTTGTCAACAGAGAGATCCCCTGGTACAGAGAATAGCTGATAAAGCCATTGTTTTGACCACGCACTTTGCTGTACATATCATGCAGCTTAACATAAGAAACTTAGCACTGTTACAGCAATGTATAAAGCCACTCCTACTACTGTAATTTTTGGTCATTAAAATAAGGGAAAAGCTACTCCAGTACAATGCCTCGCCTAATACATCTGTGTCAAAGGATTTGCCTGTACAGTGGTGGTTTCTTCTCAAGCTGCAAAATCTCAGTGCCTGCAGCTATCAGCAGGATGCTGGCTCACATTCAATCTGACTGGCCCGTAGTTCCACTGATCCTTCCACCTGCTGTTGTGGATGGGCATTGCACTAGGTAACCTCCAGTCAACTGCAATCTCTCCAGTTGGCCAGAACTGCTGGTAAGTTATTGACAGTGGCTTGGTGAGCACTTCTGGCAGCTCATTCTGTACCTTAGTCCACAAATGTCCATCTTTTGACTTGCCTGGGCTGCACTGAGTGAAGAGGAATTGTCTTGAGTTGCATATACATAGGTTGCACCAAAAGTAACATCTCCTATTTATTTTCATGGAAAAAACACCTACGAAGAGCACAGTAACACTATTTGACAGAGCAAATTCTCAGCTACAAAACACTATTTTTCATCACAGTCATCACCATCAGTCATGCACTGTCACCAGCAATGAACAGGAGCCTGAATGCCACATTCCCCAAAGCACCTTCATGGAGAGATCTCCTCCATGTCCAGAGGAGACATGATCAAATTTTGCATTGAGTTGAATGTCTGATTGCAACTCTATACATTTCATTTGAAAATTCACAGGTAATGTATTTATGTCAATTGAAAATAGAATTGTGAATATATCAAAAACTTGAAGGTTTTTTTCAGCAATCTTGAAACCTGTTGTCAAATTCCTGTATCAAAATGGAAAGCACGGTTGCTTATTTTTCTCTATTCTCAGGACTTTGCTTAACCACTGTATTAAAATGCAAACAATTATTTGCTGTCATTTGAGTTAGCACTGCTCTGTGCCCTCCACGTGCTCTGATTGGAGCCCAGACAGTGTTGGTAGGACACATGTTGCTGAGCTATGGGTGCATGCTTGGGGCCAGGTCGTGCCACTTGGAGGGGCAGAGCTGTTGCCATAATGGTGTGGGATTGAGGGCGGCCTCAGGACAGGCTGTGCTGGGCCTCGTGTGAGCTGTGAGCCATGGGCTGGACATACTGCCCTAAGATGATCCCATCTGGCCCCACAGGTCTGTGCGTGCTCAAGTGGTGTAGTCACAAGTCACCTCCCCATGGATTACAAGGACTTCATTCTGCTCCACATCTCTGTGCTCAGCCAGGCTGGCCCTCTTCCCTGCTCACTCATTTTTGACACAAAGGGGCAGCCTGCTCCTGTGCATTCAGGATTTCATTCCAGAAGAATATCTAGCCTTCCTGGACTCCTCTGTCCTTTAGAACTAACTCCAGAGGGACTCTGTCAACCGGGTCCCCAGAATAAACCAAACTATACCCTTTGAAAATCCAAAGATCGTATCTGCCAAAGTCATCCCAGTCTCATGATGGGACTTCCCAAAACCAAAACAAGGTTGCATCACGCAGGGCAGTTCTGAGAAGCTGTCAGCCACGGCTCTACCACAACTTCCACCGAAAGGCCTCGCAAAGCCCACCCACATCAGGCTTCCTCTGAAAACTCTTTGTGGAGTGACCAGGGCTGCATCTACATTGCATGGCACACTGCTGTCTTCTGGGTCCTGACCGTCCTACAGCATGACACAAAACCCTCTATGGTGTTCACTGGAGGAGCAATTCATGAAAATGACAATGTGGTGATACACAAATCTTTGCCAGCACAGGAATCTGGGTGATGACAGCAGGAAGCAGCAGCCACAGCCTTTCAGTAGCTCTGACAAGCAGGGCTGGCATTTTGCTAAGCTTTTTGTAAAATCTAAAGAGGCTCGTAACTGGCACTGTACCTCTCGGTACAGAAAGTAACTGTCCTTTTGCTAGAACGATAGAAGATAGAATGTTAGAAGATAGAATCAGTGGAAAAAGTGTACAAACCACTCTTACTCTATAAGGTGATGTCTGCTAAAGTCAGCATGAGCCCTCTGCTCCAGGCTTTACTGGGAAAGGCCTCCTGATCTCAGGTGTGGGTTCTCTACCCTTTCCTGCCACGTCACGTGTTGCTTTTGCATGTCAGTGAGACTCTGTTAGACCACACACCGCCTTTAAATACATTTTAAAATGTCTTTGAAAACTGCAGTGGTCCACTGCACTTCTGCATTGCTGTCTCTTTACCAAAGAGGGGTTACCAAAGGGGCCAAAGTAGGAGGCGAGGAGAAGATGGGAGGGGCAGGGCTGGGGGAAGAATAGGTGGATGCACACAGGAAATTTGGGCTGGCTCTGATCCCACCATCTGCAGGTCCAGCCAGGGCTGGTTTCATGGCCTCTGCACAACTGATGGCTCTTAGTTCATCCAGACCCTCCTATTCATGGAGTTCTCTGTACAGGAGAGACATGGACCTGTTGGAACACATCCAGAGGACGGCCACAAAACTGATCCAAGGGATGGAACATCTCTCCTATGAGGACAGACTGAGAGAGCTGGGGCTGTTCAGCCTGGAGAGGGGAAGGCTGTGAGGTGACCTGTTAGTGCCCTGCCAGTATCTTAAGGGGAGATACAGGAAAGAAGAGAGCAGACTCTTTAGCAGGGTCTGTGATGATAAAAACAAGGGGAAAGGGTTTCAAGCTTAAAGGGGGGAGATTTAGGTTGCATATAAGGAAAAAGTCTTACAGTAAGGGTGGTGAGACACAGGAACAGGTTGCCCAGAGATATGGTGGATGCCCTGACTCTGGAGACTCTCAAGGCAAGGCCCTTGGGCAAGCTGATGGATGCCCCTTTTAGTGCAGGGGAGTTGGATTAGGTGATCTTTGAAGGTGATCTTTCCCTTCCAACACTGAGGATTCTATGATTCTATGATTTATAGCCACCAATTCTGACATCTGCATCCACTGAGACATGCATCGCATTCAGGATCCCATAGTTTTGCAGGCACTGCGCCTGTTTGTACACACCACACACTGTTTGGAACCAACCCTACCTAAATACCTGTGTCCCCAGCAGATGCACAGAGTGAGGTGCGTGAACACTGCTATTTCAAACAAAAGGTTAATCGCACTAACATTTGAACATCCAAACACAAGCACTGCCCAGCAGTTTCCAAGGGAAGGAGATAGACGAGCTGAACCCTTCAGTGTGCTCAGTGTTGGTGTGGCTGGAGGGTCAAAGCTGGGTTACAGCACAAAGCAGCCTGTGAGTGTGTTATCTGCCACCGTTTGTTCCTGTATGGTTCTGAGGACAGAGAAAAGGGAAGCAGACAGCAGCCAGGCTCGCTCATGACATGGGGCTGATGCAATTAATACTGCTGTTTCACAGGCTTCCCATGCTAAAAATAGCACTGATGTGCTCTGCTCCCAAACCCATAGCTTCGTTTTGATCAACACCTATTGTTGCAATCTCTCCTTTCCCATTAGAAAATCAGAGAAGGAAAGAGACTGCGCAAGAAGCTTGCAGAGCTTGAATGCAGCAGGGCAAGGCAGTGTCCTGCTGCATGTGGGGAAGGGATGCTGGTACCTCCCTCACCTTTGCCCAGGCCCTGTCCTGCTGCCATGTGCCAGGCCTTGCACACCTGAGCTAGCAGAGCTGTACCAGAAGCATGGGTGAGCACCCTGGGGAAGGCTCTGTTTGGCTGTGGATCAGCTTCAAGTCAAGACACCAGGCAGAGCTTATGGAGGAAGGAAAAAGTGATTGTTCAGTACAGAAATAAGTCTTAGAGCTCAGGAAGTGTAAAGATCAAATAGCTCTCAGCAATAAATCAGGGTGATAGGTATTTAAACAGTTAGGAGACATTCTCTCCTTAAACAAAAAAGCTGCTTACACATATGAGTCATGAGCAGAAGGGAGCAAATCACCCAATGCTTCTGTTGAAACAAACAACAAAAGTGACATGGAAATGATGTCATTTAGGGATCAAATAGCTGGGTGTACTAATAGGTCAGCAACTGCTTGTAGGATCTGCAAAGAGGGAGAATGGGAAGCATCAGGAGAAGTATTTAAGCCAAGCTCTATAATAACAATTCGGTAGCAAGGTGTAAAGCTCAGAGGCTGATTTGCAATGCACAGACAGACAATGCACAAATACTCCAGAAGCTACTCTTTGACCTGAAAGCAGGTCTTAAGATCTTAGAAGCAGAAAGTTGGAAGGGTTTGCCCAAGACAGCAACTCAAGGTACCAATAACAGGACCACTGAGCTTGCTGAGCCCCTCACCTGAGCTCTTCCTGCAGGTGGACTTGCAATGGATGGCTATCATGGAGCCCCTGGCCAAGAAGTGCCTGTACCACAGGGCAGATGTGAATTCTGGGGGTCAAAGGGTCACCGTGCCAGGTTTTCTCATTATTACTGCTTGACAAGAACTGTGGAAGAGAAGAGTATTACTGTGATTCAGACTGAAACACGCTTACGAAAAACACAAAACTGTCTGCAAACCTTTGCCTTCAGCACTCCCACAGCTGGGTGAATGGGACCAGGAGTCCACCAAGGCTGCTCCGTCCTGGGGCTCAGCACAGTGAGCAGCAGGCAGCAGAGAGAGGATCTCAGGGACCCTCCAGGACAACATGTTCTCTTCAGGCAGCGCGCACAGCCTGTTGGGCAAGAAAGGTTGATGGATGCCAGCGAGGCATTGAGCGTTGGAAGTGAATTGAAGGAAAAACCCGAAGTCACTCCATCGACAGAGGAACGTCGGCAGGACCACATGGCATATGAATGTTTCATCTCACCACAGGGCTACTACATGGGCTCCTCAGTCAATAGGGGGGGGTGTGAGTCAGCAGCGGCAGCAGCAGAGGAAGCTCTGCCCCGGGGAAATGCATTGAGGAGGGGTGGAGATGCTTCCTTCACCAGCGCTGTTGCTGCCACAGCCACCTTCAAGTGGTCATCGCAGAACACCTCACTGGTCACATGCTGGGAGGGCTCAGCACACTGCACGCTGCACCACGACCGGACTGGAGGAACATTGGACCTCTCGAAGGACAACGAGCGAGCAGGTAATCCATCCTGGTTATTTGTTGGTACGGTTACTGGAGCTCTGTAAGGCATTGCCTTTCTCCATCCATGGCGGGACACCCAAATGGTGGTGGAGAAACTGGGAGAGGGATGGAGCCTGTGCATGTTCAAATCTCAGTTTGATACCAGCCACAGTAGACATGCTGTAGATGCTAAAGGGTAGCCTCTGCCTTTGCTAAACCTCACCACTGTCTATTACAATTTATCCATTTCCCTTATTTCTTCTGGTCTCAAAATGTTCCTTGTGTCCAAAACACAGAGTGGCTGCAGGTACCCACAGTGCACGTTCCCTCACAGCAGGATTGCTTGGTAGAACAATTTTCAAAGCTGGTTGAGAGCTGCAGCTCCCGCAGAGGCTGCTGCACCGCCGTAGAGATGGCTTAGCCAGAATGCTTTGGAGCCCAGAGAATCTGCACACACAGAGCCACGTTTCCTTCACAGGGAAACTCCACAGACATCTCAGACCTCCTGGGGTTTTTGTGGCCATGTCTCACAGGGCAGCACAGAATATGAACCTGTATTAACTCTTCCAAAGCAGGAAGGCAAGAAGCAGCGTGGCCCTTTGGGTGAAAAAACACCCACCAGATCATGTTCAGCTCACCACTGTATTTCACATGGTGGCTGATCGCATCTCTTGCCATGCCTTTTTTTTCTTGCACTTTGGCAGATTGCTCTGTTACATCAGAGGTTAAGACCAACTTTCACAGTCCTCGAAAGACAGCGTGCAGCCCACAGACCTATCTCTGATTCTGGCCGCAGACAACAAAATGTTATGACTAAATATAGGATTCAGTGGCAGCTAAAATAATGAGAGATAGATGAATAACGGCTCTTTGCACTAATAAGAAGTGATGACAGCACAGGATCGAAGAAGAGGACAGCTGTCTCTTTGCAGCACGTCTCCCAGAGCATTCTGAGCAGTGAGAATGCTGGCTGGCTTCTTGTGAGCACCACTATGATGGGAGGGATGAGACCCAAGTTTAGACATCCCTTTCCCATTGCCAAATGAGCTGTAACAGTTCACATAACTCCCAGCTGCAGGATACATGCTTCTGGCTCATCTGAGTCTGGCCCAAAACAGAAGCACAATCGTTTTCCAGCCTTGCCCTCTGCTAGCCATTTGCCTTGTGTGGGATGCAGTGAGAGCTGCTTTTCGCCCCTCCACAACTGACCAGGCTCTGTAGACAGTTCTGCTCTGCAGTATCATCTGCTCCGTCTCATTTTCACTGCTGTAAATCTCGGAGGACCATGAAGTACTATCTGAATTAATCACCGATTCAGTCATAGTCTAGCTTCTGAAAAATATAATCTGCTTTTCCAGGAACTGTGCCTCTTAATATCTCCAAGATGAACCAGAGCGGCTGCAATATCACAGCTGACGAAAACTTTCCACTTGTCCAGCTGTGTGTTTACATCCCAGTGTTGCTGCTGGGCGTTTTGCTGAACGTATTGGCGCTATGGGTGTTCTGCTGCAAGCTCGGCAAGTGGACAGAAACCAGAGTGTACATGGTCAACCTGGCTGCAGCTGACTGCTTGCTGCTCTTTACTTTACCTTTTAAAACATTATCCCAGTTCCAGCAGATGAAGGCAGACAGATGGTGCCTGATTCTGGAAGGCGGCTATTTCATAAACCGCTTAATGAGCATCGGTATCATCACTGTTGTAGCAGCCGACCGGTACGTGGCTATCAAGTATCCCTTGAAAGCCAGAGCACTGCGGTCACCACTGCAGGCAGCTTTTACATCTGGATTTCTTTGGATAGTCATCGTCTGCGTGATTTCCCTCATTAAAACGGTGGAAAACCGAGAGCATGATGAATTTTGCTTTGAGAAATCTTCTGTCAAGCCGTCCGTCATCACGCTGTGTGCTATTATCGGAGGGTTCTTCATACCACTGATCGTCGTGATTTACTGCTCCACACAAGTCATCGCAGAGCTCATGAGAAAGAAAAACGAAAACTGCCACGAGGAAAGGTTAATCAGGAAGGCTGTCTACATCGTGACAGCAAACATGGCTGTGTTCATCGTATGCTTTTTGCCTGTTTACGCTGGGCATCTCCTTCGCTTTCTAATGGACTCCTTCAGCCCCAGCTGCCCTGCAATACAGAAGGTTAACAACTTCGTTCACCTTGCCTCGGTCCTTGCCAACACAAACTGCTGCCTGGATGCTATTTGTTACTACTTTGTAAACAAGGAATTTCAGGAAGCGTCTCCCAAACTCGCGAGGTCCAAATCTGACTCAGGCGAAACAGCTGAAGCTCAGCTCCCAGTAATAACACATCAGTGCCAAATGTAGAGGGCTCTCTTTTTGTGTGAGAGTGATGGATGGACTTTCCGCTGATGGGAAAGATTCAGACATGAAAATCAGCCCTCATTCAGACAACCACAGCAGTCCAGATGCTCACGCAACAATCTAGATCATCACTGACAATTCCCAGCCTTATCCAAATCTGAGTAAGATGGAATCATAGAATCCCCATAAACCTCAGCAAGTACAATCAGTGGGGAAAGTTTTTGCTGTCCATCCCCCTACCTTGGGCCAGTTTTGATGTAGCTGCAGCTGTGGCAAATAAACAGGAATTATTTGAAATTTCAAAAAAGGAAAAAAAATCTCAAAGTGAAACCGTTGCAGAAAAAGTAAGGTGGACGGGTTTATGTCACAAATGTCTTTTCTTAGTAATAAACACCCAGTCCCAGATGCAGATGCTTTAGTCAAGTTTACAGCATTGTTTGCACTGTATGACAGCGATAAAATGGTGATCAGTAGAAATATGGGGTCAGAAGGAGCTGTGATCGTTTGTATAGGGGAGAAAGCTTCACATTGACTGTATCTGAGTCAAACTGCATTAAAAATACTATCCAAAGAGCTGGGGTGGGTGGGAATGACAACTCTGTAAATGGAGTCAGTTCAACATTATAGTGTAAATAATTATCTAAAGAAAGCAGCAACAAATTCTTCCAAAGTTTCCAATCTAAATAAATTTGCATTACTGGCAATGAGCTCTTCCTCTTAACGAGCTAAATGGAAACATCGGAAGATCCGGTGGTGATGGGACCCACTTTGCTCTCTGTCCCTGATGGGGGCAGCTCATGGCCTCTGCTGCCTACACCACGAGCAGGGAGCACGGGCTGCAACACAGACTGGGATCTTCAAAGGCTGAGCACTGCAGGAACCCATGATCCACTTATAAACAGCAAGGGAGGCAAAACAACTAACCAGTCCCCCCGTAACGATGCTCAAACAACAGCATGTGCTCTGAAGTGGGATGTGCAAACCAGCTGCACACCTCCACCCATATCTCCTGAGCCTAGGCTGAGCTTCCAGCTGCCTGTAGGCTGAGCCCTGCTGCTGCCTTCCCATCCCACATCCAGCTCAGCTTTGACTCCTCCTGCTCAAGAAAAGTGGCAAAAGGAAGAAACCCCTCGTGGAGAGACCTTGCTGCAGGCAACCACTGGGCAGAGCCCTCCGTTCACCTGGGCAGGATGGGAGCAAAGGCTGGGCAGCCTCTGGGTACTGCAGCTTCTCACTGCACTTGCCAGAGATTCAGACAGCAATGGGGAAAGCTGTTCAATCATCATGAAAATCTGCAAGCAACATCCAGCCTTTGTTCACAGCACAGTGAAGAGTGCGATGACAAGAGGTTCTGATGACAAAGTGCACCTTTGAAGGAGGCTGGTTTCTCCCTGCTTCTGCTCCCTCCTTTTCTCAGCAAACATCAAAGCACTGTGTGCACAGATAGGTATCTCCTCCCCCCCCCAGCTCGAGGTGCAGTGAGGCCCTAGCCCTGTGTGCTGACAGGTCTCCTGCACTGCTGCACTGACATATGCGCAGAATACTTCTGTGAGTTCAGTTTGATGGGTTTATCCCTAATAAAAATTAACAGATTTTCAAGATTCACTCCTCCGTGTGGGATTTGTGTGCTGAGGGAGCAGGTTTGGAAGAATAGCAGATTGCCAGTGTTTTCTCTGCACCTGCAGTCTCACTGACACAAGTGCGAGCTGTTCAGAGGTGAAAGCACTGAACAAACCAAACAGTTATTTTAGATGCAGCAGGAAAAAAAATACTGCTCCTCGGCTAACCACTAATTAAATGGGTGGAGGAGACACAAAGCTGACTACAAAGTATTTTCAGCAGATTCTGCTCAGCCGTCTCGCTCTAAGTAACACCCCTTCCTCCAGCAGCTGCTTGCACAAAATATGCACCACGAACACTTGTCCAGATGGCCAAACTCTAACCACAGAGCCTCAAATCAAGGTGTGAGGTGCACACAGTGGGAAGGCCTCAGATGCTCACTGGGGCTGCGGATGAGACAGTCAGGCTGTGCTGGAGTGGGGTGGTGCTGTCCCTCTCAAACAGGCCCCAAATCTCTGTTCTGAACTGTTTGACAGGGGCTATCCAGGGGGACTTGTGGGCAGTCAGGGATTTGGTTGTGCTGGGGCTGAGATATGTGGCACATGCACCAAGTGCACGATGGAGAAACATATTCCATCTCCCCAGCCAGAATACTAGAGTGCTCTGTTCAGCTTGCTCGCCTTTTCCACCTAGAGCTTTTGAGCTTCCTTCCAAACCTGTAACCATCTGGCCAAGCTCTCACGTGCAGAAGGTTTAAGGGATGTATCAAGCAGTGAGGAAGCAGCAGCAATTTCCTATTTTCCAGCACCTCTGGTGAACTCAGTAACCACCAGAAGATGAGGGGAACATGACGGTTTGTTCACAAGATACCAATTCATCCACAGTGGCCTGAAAGAAAGCAATTCTGTACTCAGAAAGTGCTGGCACACTGGAACAGGCTGCCCAAAGAAGCTGTGCCCCAGCCCTGGAGCCTTTGGTTGGATGGGGACCTGGGCAGCCTGATCTGGTGGAGGGCAACCAGCCCAAGGCAGGGGAAATGACTGGGCATTAAGTTCCTTCCAATCCAAATCATTCTATGATTGTATGAGGGCAGCCAGCTCACACTCCACACAAGCACTGAATGGACAGGTTACCAAAATCAAATCACCTGACAGCACACACAGAGCTGCTGCAGCACACCAGAGGTGGCTGCACAAGCTGGTACACAGGCACACCATGGGATAACATCCAAAATAACCTCCAGCTTTCATGCTGTCACTCACTGAGGTCTGGTGATGTCTCACACCAATTTTCCTGCCTGGGGCTTTCCATTGTTGTCACACTTTAACTGAACCCTGCTGCCAAGCACAGTTGGGGCAGCTGACTGAAAAATGAGAGTTCAACTGAATGTCAGGTGCAGGGGGAAAGTGCAAAAGCTCTCTCCAAGAGACTATGACACATTTCAGAGATGCCTTCATCAAAGACAGAAAGAGGGCACTGCTGAGGAAGTGAAAATCAGGGTGGCTCACAGTTGTTAGCCCAACTCAGAAGCATTCCTGTGTGCCTCAGTTTCTGAATGAGGGCTCAGAACCATCACTGAGTCACTGCGATGGGAGCAGCTGTCCCACATGGCAGCTCACACACCAGCCAGGAATAGCATCAGTCACCCTGTGCTCCTTGCCCTCCATGAAGGCACTAACAGGCTGTAGCACCTCATCTGCCTGAAATACAGTGCTCTGCCAGCAGCTTTACCAGCTTCAAAGCTCTCATGTCACTTTTCTCTGGCAATTATTTCTACCAGTGTAGACCTCCTGGTCCTCAGTTTTCAAGCCAGCTAGGAGTTTGTTTTAGGTTAGATTGAAGTTTGGCACAGATATCTCAAGCAAGACTCAGTTATCAGCTCAAACAACTTTGTAGGTCTTTTGGCCCTGCGGGTATCACAGCTCAAAGCCACTTGTTAGCCCATAAAAATGGGATCCACCACATCTCCATCAGAAGTCACGTTGCACCAAGCAGGAACGGAAGGACTGGTGGGCCTTTCTCTGGGGCCCCTCAGGGAGTCCCTACTTCATGTCTCCAGCACAGAGACCTGTTTCAGATGGGCAGGACATTAGTATGCACACCCATGTGGATTGCATTGCTCCTTCACATTGCCAGAGCCATTTCACAGCCTGCTTAAGTTTATACTGCTGTCTGTACCAAGGATTATTTGACCATTTCTTCTGAAAACAGCCCTGGGTGATGGAAGGAAGGGAACTGCACAATCTCATCTAGCTTCACAGCAAAGGCAGCAACAGACAGCTGCTCAGCAGCCAGCACAGGCAGGGCAGTACCAGCAGAAGCTGCTAACGGCCAGCAGTGATCTTGGGGCAGGAAAAAAGAGATTCCTCTTCAATCTGCACTGTTACAGTAAGATCAATAATACAAACACAGCTGATGTTCAACGCTCTTCCATTTCTCTCAATGGCAACTGTGTAATTACAGAAGAATTAAGACCTTAATTTTAATCACTGCAGGGCTGCTCCCCTTCAGGTGCTGGCCAATGACCCTATTGAGTGGCACTACCCATGACCTCAGGGGCCTCGTTCCCACCCCCAGCAGCAGGCAAACCCCAGGGACTGGCGGTGCAGCCAGAAGGAGAGCACCTGCTGGACATCTGTGACTTCTCTGGTGGGTGGATGGTGGATGTACTCCCTTTAGGAAGAGCAGATGATACTCTTGGTTGGCAGAGCAGCACATGGTGACCCAAGATCGGGAAACCCAAGGCCAATTTTTCTCCAGTGGCGTATTTCAACACTTCCCTCTTCCTCATAGACATGCACCCCCCTGGTATCTCACTCTAGATTCCCTTGAAACATTTCCCTATTCAGCTGTTACTTTGGTGGGGTTTTTTTTTGTTTTTTTTGTTTTTGTTTTTGACAAAAATGATGGGAAGAGGAGTTGCTCTGCTTTCAGACAGGGCTGTGTGAAATAAAGATGCTAAATAACATTTCTCACTTTTGTGCTTAGCCAAGTTCCTTCCATTTTCAGCTCCCACATCGTACATCACCCAGTAATACAGAAGGAGAAACCACAAGAGCTTCTTCTCATGCACCTGAAACTGTGTTGGGGAGTTGATAGGAAGCAAAATAAACAAACAAAAAAGCAAACACAACAAATGCAAGAAAAAAGAATTCTGCAAGCAGTACCTTACTCCTATCTGTCTTTAGCACTGCCTCTCACATTCTTTCCCACTTCAGGGGGAATGCATGTGTGGAAACCACACACTTTCTCTTCTCAGGAAGATGAATTCACAGGTAAGAGCAGCAGCTGCTAGAGCTTGTCCTCAGGCCTGTATTTACCCTCTTGCTATTGAACATGTTTATAACCTGCGCTGACACAGCAGCAGGGAGCCTTGGTGTCATGAAAATCCAGCGCTTTGCTCTAAAAGCAGCATTAGTGCTATTTCTGCAGTAACCTCACCCAACTTTCCAATGTCAGCAAAGGCCAGCAGCTTCCATCAGACACTAACACAGGGCCAGCATGGTTTCCCAAAACCTCTAATCACTTTATGCTTAAGCAGGCACCAGGACAGTGCCTTGTGGTTGTTGTACCTTGTGCCAGTGGTTGTTCCACATCTGCTCCTCCAACCTGCCCATCTTCAACAACAAGCACACCAGGAGAAGTCCCAACTCCAGTGATCAGGTCATCTTTTCTGCCCTGGTTTAGTGCTGAGTTCCACAGTCAACATGGCACCGATGTGCAGTATAGCAGTGGAGCCAATCTTCCAGCTTCCTTATCTGCCCCTTTGCTTCTCCACCTTGTGCCAGAGCAGCCTATGTCTGACCAGCAAAGCTCAGGCTATTGAATTATTTCACTCAGTAAACAACCAGTTCAAGACCAACAAATGTGAGATGTTAGTTACGTCAGCAACATCTGCAGACCACAAAGCTGTCACACAAAAATAAGAAGGAAAAAAAAAAAAAAAAAAAAAAGGAAAGAAAAATATTTAAAGGTTAATTTTATAGTTTTAGCAAAAAAAAAAAAAAAAAACAAAAAACAACTCTCCATGAATCATCCTCTATTATTTGTAATAGTAGTGATTTGAGAGAAAATGTTATGAACACAACTCTCAGTCTCCAGTGAAAAGTGAATAGCATGTTAGTGTAGGCAGAAAACTGCCTTCTTCTGCTTTCTTCCCTGCAGTGGTGACAAAGTGTAGTGGTGGCACACGAAGGATATAAGGGGAACAGAAAGCAAGTAAGCATCTGGAGGAAATGGCAGAGGCTGCTGTCTGGATGAGGGGAAGGACAAAAACTTTTATGTTCCTGATGCATAAGATTTGTAAAAGTAGAGAAATTAGGAGTCCCCCATGACTAATAATTGTGAGCAGAAGTCACTGTTAGTTTAGCAGATGCCTTATTTCATATAAACTGCTTTATTTTCCTGAACTCCTGATTCTGAGATGTTCTGCATGGACCAGAAGATCCAGTCAGTGTTCTCCAGTTGGGATTTCCAGGATTAGGGCAATATTTGCTTTGCTTTTGTTGGGCTTGGTGGGGTTTTTTTGGTAGGTTGGTAGAACGATTTGGTTTGCAATGCAGCAATTTGTCTCTAAGTTACCTTTACCAGTATTTGAAGAAGCGGTGTTCATTTCTCACTGATTGGGTCTTTTAAGAACATCTGCTTCAGTCACTGGAAGGCAGAGGTCTTTCCTTTGGCTCAGACATAAATCTGTCATACTTTATTAGTGATTTTAGGCTGTGAAATGTGACTCCAGCACGTCCTCTGCTGGCCCAGTCCCAGCTGCAATGCCACCTACACAAACACGGGTGTAATGACAGCGTCTGAGCCCAGGAAAGGACAGATGCAGGGCCTTGGCACCAAACTGCAAAGCTGAAAAGAAGGCCACCCTTGCTGTGATGGACTGCAAGCCTACAGAAGCCTTCTCAGGTTCCTGGGGTCTGTGCTTTAGGTCTCACTTTGCACACAACAGCCAATCAGGAGCTATTTTTGCCTTCAGTGAGCAAACAGAATCACTTTTTATACACATAGAATTATCTTCTAAAATTAGAAATCCAAACAGATTATTGACTTCTATTTTTCAGAGCACAGTCAGTATTCATGTCCCCATATGTGCCAGAGCAAGAGAGACCAAATGCAGCCAATTCTCACCAGGTACATCTGGCTGAGCTACAGGCTGCTCTGGATGGGAAACACCTGCACCCACATACACCTGCCAAAAGCTAAGGACAGCTATGAAACCCAAAAGGCCTAAGTCAGTTATGCTATGGGGCTGTGAAGAAGGTAACAAACCGCTAGAGGGAAGCCTGACCTCTGTCAGTAGCCAAGTCTGGCACACCTCTTGAAATCCATCCTGACAAAGCTCTCAAACCTATTGCTGTATATATCAGAACAGTACGTGTGCATGTGAATGTTGTGAATCTGTGTTAACAGATAACAGCTCATAATGCATCTTCACACAGTTGTCCCATGATTATCAGTTGTAAATTCAGAGTGAATTTGACTTTAATCAAACACCTTCTCCACTATCCTTGATCTGATGAACCTCCTACAACAAGCACAGAAAAGAGGACACAAATCTCTTTTTGCACTCCATCACGACAGTGAAGAAATGCATTAAGAATTGGAGAGAGCCAAGAAGAATGGAGAACACTGAAGGTGAGTGGTCCTGTTTCATTGTGATTTTACTAGCTCTGGTGGTATCGTGTTTGTTGTAGCTATTGCTTTATACACCAGGGTTTGGAGAAGAGCTAAACAAGCTCTGCTGAAGGAACTCCCTCACATGTACAACACTGCCTAAATATTCATCCTACATAATTGGGCATTTAAAACGAAGAAAAAAAAGTGTCATTAGTTTATAGGCACAGAGGTAAGAGGCGATCACACCATCTTTCTTGTGGCTATTTACTAGATTATGATCCACAAAGAGTGATTTGGTCAACAATTAGCAGCAAGCCTCAGATCTGCATCTGTCTGCTGCAGCTGCGTGGTATTTCTACCCTCATCTTTTACAGCACCAGTACTTTTGGCAATAGAATAATATACATTCAGATCTTCAAACAGTAGTCAAGTGATGTCAAATGATCTATCTTCTAGGAGAAAAAGCTTCATGCAGATATTACCCTTTGTTTTTAACCAGGCAGAATTAGCAGTGCGACTTAGAACTAATAGCCTTTAAACAACTCTTTAAGACCTAACACAAAAATAAGATCCATGCTCCTTTACCTCAGTTTCCTGAGAGTAGCCCACAAAGGTCTTCTTCAGTAGCACATACTCTTGTCTACAAATGACACGTGGCAAAGATGCATCTGAAGAAAACTAGCATTAATTCCTCATCACATCCTCTTTTCTTTCCTTTTCCCTCCCCTTTTCCGTATCCATCTACTTTTTGGCTGCTTTTTATTAAGTGTAATGGTGTGTATGGGAGGGTGACTGCTAAATTCCAGTCAGCTGTAGCCAGGGCTGAGATGAGGAAGCAAATCCGTTCAAAATTAGGCACAGCATAATGAAATCCAATGATATGTCACTGGTTAAAGGGCTACTGATGAATTGCAGAAAATAAAGAGGACTCGTACTGAAGTTAAATTAATGTCACTGGGATTACACTGCTTGGTACTCAAGGAGCCTACTCAGCTAGGGTCTTCTTTGCACCCTCAGTACTCACACGCAGCTGTCACATTATCCAGGGCAATACCTTTAACTCAACCCATGTTTTGCATATGAAAACACAGACTTGCAGAAAAGGCAAGAAAAGGCCATCTAAAGAAGGGCGACCTGAAGCATTCCCATGTTACAACAAGCAGAAACGTGTCTTTCTTTTAATAACACCTCACAGCAAGGGGTATTTCTGGTGCTTGGCTATCTTCAGCTACAAGAGTTTCTTTTAGTTTCTGAGCAGAGCATTTCCAGCTGCAGTGTAAAGCCATTATTTCTTTTCCCATCTGCAGTGGGGATACAGCAAACTACCTACTTCTTTCATCTTAATAGCTACTATGAGTGTGTTTGAAAACCTATTTATGCTCTCCACACTTCAGCATTTGTGCTCTGTGCTCAGTCACTTCTGCATTCCAGAAGTAACTTGCTGTATTTGTTCCTGTTTTACTCTCTGAATTGAGCTGTTCTGTATTTTTCTCTCTGTATTTTTTTTTAGGAGAGGCACACCAGACTGAACACTCCTCCCCAGAACCTTAAACAATTGCTTATTCCATAACTATATTGACTTTTTTTTCCTACATAACCTCCCATTTCATATCTAGTCATGCTCCATCTCCAAGCTGCTCTAAGACTTAGATCCTGCATGTAAAACTATGCATACAACTTTTTGACCCACTGCATTTTTCCTTTCCCAAACCGTTCATCCAGCTTGTCAGCACCATCTGAAATACCTAGGAGGCTGCAAACACAGAAAGTAGTTTTCGTAACATGTAACAACATAAAGCAATATCATTATAAAGCAATATGTTCATTCGTAAACTACATCCATTTGTTCTGCATCATTATGAATTATTCTAGCTCCTACGAGTACAAAGATTACATAAAAATCTGAAAATTCAACTGCTTTTTCACACAATTGTTACATTCGCTCTTTTGTCCTCCAATTTTCTGACTGTAAGTCATCAGAGATGGGTGAAAGGCAGAAGGGTAAAGCCCCTTCCTTCAGGCTGCAGAAGGCTGGCATTCCCACCCACTGCTGTGGAGATCAGAGGGAGGTGACAGATGCTGCATGGCGAGCTGTGCAAACACGGGAATACAACTGCTGCCTTCAGAATGTCAAAGCTGCGAGGCAGTGTGTTGTGGTGTTAAATTAACTTCAGTTTAAGGCTTTTCTTGTTGTTGTTAAACAATGTGGAATGGTAAGATTTGCAGATGTACAGTGCAATGTTAGTACCATGCACCACGGGGCACCCCAGATGGCTCTCATTTCACCAGAAATACTCTGCCAAGACTAAAGTGACGAGCAAGCTGAGCTTTTGTTTCACTGGTGAGTGATTAACAAGTGCACCATGCCAAAACTAAGGCAGAATTGGAGGAGTGTCTGCACAGCTGCCACTGCATATCTTGGTGCTTCAGACCAATCCCAACTGTAGGTTTAGACTCAGTGAAATGGTTTGCAAAGGAACTTCTTCCTCTGGCCTAGAACACTTAAGTCCAGCATCATGGGAGCAACACTGGAGAAAGGATTTCCAGCTGTGTCATTTGCTTTGACCACACTGACAGCTGGTGAGCACTGGTCCATCAGGACCACTCTAAGAATCTGGTGACCCTTTTTGCTAAGATCAAAATATGTCACTCATGGTGTGTTTATACAAATTAACCTTTGTGGTCAGTGAGGAGTACAAAACACAAGACGTCAAGGCAAGAATACGATTAAATTCCTACCCGATGGCCTACCTTCATGAGTTTCTCATCCGCCTTGGAACAATCACTCTACAAGTATCTTGGCCTTAGCAACCACCCTAAGAGAGATCAACCCAGTGAAGTTACTTCTGTTCCATAATATTTTTGTCGTTGTGGCTTTATTCTTTGTTCAGAAAACGCCTGTCTTTGGTTGTGTGGCATTTTCAGCCACTCCACCACTGTTTGGCAATTTGAGAGGTTCTTCTCATTTGTTTGGGGTTTTTTACTTTCCTGCAGATTGCCTTCTTGATCCCCTTCATATTACAAGTCTTTTCTATACAGGCTGTTTATAAGATGTATATATGCACCTGTGATAAAGGGAATAGACCTTTTCAATATTACAAATAAACCTCTAGCACTTGGTTTGCAGCAGAAAGCTGCAATTTTATCACTGTAAGTGGCATCATTATATGCACAATGTAAGTGCAATTTTACTTCCAAAGCCATTTGTTCACTCTAACTTGAGTGTAAACACACTTGCCAGTGGCAGACAGCCAGAACAAAATGTGATATACGTATACATCTCTATACTGAGAGAGAGGGAGAATCACAAAAACCAAAACCCACCTTGATGCCTCTTGTCCACTTCCTCAAGATGGCACTGTCGGGTTGTATTTCCCCACCTACAGGGGCAGCCACTCCAACCTATCTCAAGTAAAGGCAGGAATCACTCCTTGTAAGCATTTTCTTCAACTTTCTTTTTATTATTTATTTATTTGGTCAAGTCTGAGTAGTTCCTCTTGGGTACTTTCTATTTCTGAGCAGCACCCATGGCATCTCCACATTAAACACCTCAGTGATTAAATCCGGGACTCTGATGCTCTGGGATTTCTCAGGATTCATTATGGCAGCAGCAAGGTTGACGTTCTCATTCTCATACCCAGGGATCTCAGTGCCAAGATGAGGGGACACAGACTGGGTGGCGTGCATTGAAATATGCACCCTGACAGTGCGCTTTGGTTGTGGCAAGAGCAATTTGTGCAGAAACTTCAAAAAAAACCCCACCAAGCTAAGCCAACATGTGTGCTACAGGCACACTAATTGCCATCGTCCAGCTGAGACAACACCAGTATGAAAAACCAGCCTCGGCTCGTGCCTCAACACACCCTTGTCCCTTGAGCAGCACCACTCATGTTAATTGTTCTGTGTGGTGTCAGAGCTGGTCTCATTCCTCTGCAATTCTTTGATACGTGCTCAACCGAACATTAAAGCACACTTGAAAACACGTTGGTCTGAAAACAGTAAAAATGTAGTGGTAACTCAGCATTACACCAGCTGCAATGGGGAAATCCTGGAGTGCAAAGACAACAGACATCAATGAAACACATTGAATCATTGATTCTACTCTCTTTTTCCCTACGGAATCCCAGAATAACTGTTAGCTAAGATCCACTTAGTTTTAAGAGAAAATGATTTACCTCTTATTTTATGTCTGCTTCTTTCACAGGCAGTTTTGCTCATCAACCTAGCAGTAAATGAGCACAGGAGACGTTCTTTGTGGACAGCAACATCTGGCTTCTTTCTCTTGGAGTTGAGGAATTTAATGTGCCCACAGGGTACTGCCAATGCAGGATGGGAACAAATGGGCCCAAGGGCAATGGGCTTTGATGCTTCCATCTGGCTACATGCATGGCATTGCCTTGAAAACCTGGGTTTGGGTTTTGAGATGATAGAGATTGCAAGAGCCGTGGCTTTCCTTTCAGGCCTTCTTTATGTCAGCAGTTTCAGACCTTCACAAACCTTCTGTAACAGTGACCAAATAGCCTTAAACAGGTAACAACAATAAAGAGGTGATTATACCATGGAAAAGTGTTTTAAACTGCAATGAAAGCAGCATATTCTGCAAAGATCCAAAAACATCTCAGTGCAGACAGAGTGATGCTTTCCACAGCATACTAATTTCTATTCAACACAGCGCTCCTTAGCTGGAATGAGCCAACAAGCTCCTTTCAGTGGCATTGGCTCAGAAGGAAAGAGACAAACACCCATTTTCTAGCTACAATATGCTTTAGACTTCCATAGCATACAGGTGCAAGGCAGATGAAAGTTCTGCTATTAAATAGTCTCGCATTAAATTAGTAACACTTTTCTTGGCTTACTGTCAGAAGAACTTCAACCAGGAGACCACAAAGAATAAGGCTATTTTTCATGTTTATGTTCTTAAACTCCTGAGAGGGATCTCAATCTGCTGTATGATCACTACTTAGGGATCCCTATCAGATCTATTAGTCGCAAACTAGGTTTGATTTCTCATGCTCTCATACATCCTTCTCACACTCAACAAGTGAGCTGGAGCCGGCAAGCAGTGTGGAAGGCACACACACACATACAGCAGTGCTGAGATAACATTAATTAGTCGTTGCTTCGGGCCACGGCTTTCATGAGGTCCCACTCTTCTACAACACTGAGCATTTGTGGTGATCTGTGCTTTTGAAAACGTGAGAACGCTACTTGCCAAGGGCTAAAAAGGAGCACTTGTCCATCTAGCCCCCTCCAGACTTGAGGTGCACCCAGTGAAAGAAGAGGGAAATCCCAGCCACCTTCAAGCAGCAATGCACCTGCCCCTTCCCATCAAATACTGCAAACCTGGTATCACAAGTTAAACCCTGTTAACCACAAGATAAACCATGAACTGCAGCTTGCTGGTAATAAACATTTACACGTTTCTAGGGTGGTGAAGAGCAAAAATTGCCAAGTGGACCCTTCGCAAAGAAGTTCAGAGATGTACAGTGGCAGACTTCACTCTATCTGCAATAATCTAGGCCACATCACAGATGTGGGAAATATTGCTTTTAGGCAAACCTGTGATTTTCACTCAACTCCAGCCCATTGCAGTTATAGACTTGGTTGTGTAAGGCTTTCTGGCCAGAAATATCAGTCCTTACACTGAGAAAAGATGGATAAAGAAATGTTACAGAAAAGTAGGGGAAAAAAGTGCAGTTTCTATGCAAGTCAGCACTTTTTCAATTCAAACCATTGAACAGAACTACATCTTTCAGGAAGTCATAGCACTGGGTATGCGTAGACCCTGCAGACAAGGCAGCTCCACACGAAGTACAGGAATGACTGTGCAAGGCAGGCGTGGGTAGCATGGCTGCTGCCACTTTTCTTCACTGCCATCCCTCTGGGGTGTGAGACTGTAGTGAAGGTTGTTGACTCCCAATAGTCAACAGTGGCCAGGTATAACTGAAACACAAAGAAAATAGTATTTGTTGTCTTGTTATTCATCATCAAATGCAACGCAAAGGTTGAGAAGAAAAAAGTTTTCTAGGTGCTCTAAGGAAGGAAAAATATTCTATATGCCATTTATTAGAGTATTATGATCTATGATTGAGACTGTGATTGTAACATTGCTTTCTGATCTGATCTCTCTTGCTGTGAGGAAAAAGAATAATGTCTAAGAACCACATTCTGTCTGGCAGGAGAAATATCCTGCAATATGACATTGTAACCCGCAGGAGCCTGAGAACTCAGAGACCTGCCAGGAAGCTGTGTGGTCCACGTGCTCAGATCCCAGCGTGCCTCATATCACACTGCTGCAAACCATTATTTCTTCTCACCAGATGGATGTGAAATTTGCCATTGCTTCTTTTGAAACCTCAGGTTTTTGTACACCACTTCCCCCCGCAGTGCCACTGTTTGGTAAGCATAGCATCTTCATAAAACAGAAATTATTCTCTACTTTAGACACAGCAACCTCACATTTTTCCAGGGGGCTCCTCAAAAGACACACTCTGTACAAATCCCATGGAAACACCTGTAAGAATTATGTGCATTTTCATAGGCTGCATCTGCCCTGGGGTTCACCAAAGCCAATAGAGTAAACCACAAACCTTCTCAGCTGGCAGAGGAGGGGTATGCTGGAAAATCTCACTGGAACAGGCTGCAAAGCACATTTGTGCAGCTAGCTCTGTGTATATTCTTCACTTGGGAAGCCCCATGTCTATTCTTACAGTTTCAGTAGGGCTGAGCTCACGGCTTGTCTGGCTATGAATAGCCAAGAGATGTTGTAGCCTTTTGGTACATCCATGACCAGAAGTGCTTTGGCAAGGTGCAAGCTGCTCTGTTCTCATATGGATTGTGGCCCTCTGAAGCTATGAGGAAGATGCCACACTGTATGCTTGGTGTCCTGTTGTGAACTTCTGGATCAGATACAGCTTGAGGCTTTGTGCCTCAGAAATATTACTGCTGTAGTTCTATGCTCATAAACAGCCAGCTCCAAGAACTACTGTATTTGTTGCCATTAGAGGTCTCTGTCTCAGAGGCTGAATTTGGCTGCTCCCCATCACTGGCTCTTTGGATAGTTCTCCTTTAATGAGTTCAGTTGATGAGCTGGACTTAGAAAACAGCTTCCTAAAAAGAGGCTAATTTTGTGGTAGCAAGCCATGGTAACCTGCTCTGAACAAGACAACTTATTATCTTAACTCAATTTGTCCATCCAGCATTTGAAATCATCATGACACACAAAAATATCAGATGCCAGTGACAGCACACCACCGAAGATTACTTTGAGATGGGCTTAGACTCAGGTCTGGGCTGATGAACCTTCCACTTCTTCATCGCATCCAGAATTTCTCCCCAAGGATGAACACAGTTTTTCATTCACCTTCCAGCTCTTCACTGGGCAATGTCTTTTCCTGATTCTTTTTGTTCTGGACCACTAAGTCTATGTTCTATAGTTATCTGGGAGAGCAAGTCACACACGCCTTCAGAATAGCACAGAAATCTGTCAGACCTCATCACTGAAATCTGATTCATTTGCATTTGAGCATCCTAATTCTAGATCTGAAACCAAGCTCATTCCATTCTTGCCATTAAATACAAACAAGCACATATTTTAGACATTTGTGAAAGCTGAACTGCAAATTTGCTTTGATATATTTTCCACTAAAAAAGAATAGCTCATGCTGCAGTAATACAAATGAATGTGGTTTCGCAATGTATGAATGTGTTTCCCCTGAAACAAGCTTTGAGTCCTTAAAAATGACAAGTGCTACCTGGTGTAGCAACAGCAGCACTTGCACAGAAAGGATAAAACATGGAGAAAAATCACCAGTCAATAAAGAAACCCAGAGAATCACAGAATTGGAGGGGTTGGAAGGGACATCTGGAGATCATTGAGTGCAACCTCGCTGCTAAAGCAAGTTCTCTACAGCAGCAAAGTGCCCAGGCAGGCCATGAGTATCTCCAGGGAAGCAGACCCCACCAGCACTCATTCCAAGGCTCTGTCAGCCTCAAAGAAATGTTCTTCCTTGTGTTTGTATGGAGCTTCCTGTGTTCCAGTTTGTGCCCATTGCCCCTTGCTGGGCACCACTGCAAAGAACCCAGCCCTGTCCACTTGATTCCCACCCATTACAAACATATAAGCATTGATCAAATCCCAACTCTGTTTTGTCCAGGCTGAACAGCCTCTCAGCCTTATCTTTGCCATAAGCTTTGTAAGTTGTTTGCTTGTATATTTCGTTCTAGTTACTCAGACTATTATTTAGGTTATTCCTTTCACACTGACCACTATTTGTTTTCTAGCTGCAGTGCAATAATAGCAAAAGGATAAGGTTGATGAAACTGTTATCTCTAGGCAGGGCTAGTAATAGGCATTTACCACATTTCTGTGGTTAATTTAAAAAAAAAAAAAAGAGAGAGAGAAGCAAAAAACTGAAGCAAACAACATCCTATCTCCTTCCCATCAAAAACATTAGAGTTACAGGTATCTGCCTGCATCTTTGGAATTGAGCATTTAGTGAGCAGGATAGCAGGGTGATAAAGGCCCTGGGAACACCAGACTCACAGAAACATCCCCTGCTGAGCACGATCACATATAGCAGTTGTTGGGAAAAATTAAATAAGCAGCCACCAAAGAGAAGGGGAAACAAGCTCTAATTTCTCAGCTGATAATCTGCAGGTATGGCAGTGAGTCATTTCACAGCTTGCCCAGATTAGACATGCTCTAGATTTAAGCTGTACTAGTTGTAAATGAAGAGCTAGCCTGCAAAAGCACAACTTATCTGTGTACCAACAAATTATGTGCTTACATACAGGCGATGCACCCACACATATCACAAGCAAACTGCCAACATAGCAACCATGTGGTTGGTGTGCAGAAATGCTGATTTTGAGTTCTGCTTCGCCAGGCAACACCAAGGGGGAAATTTGCAGAGCCATGAGCAATGAATCCACCCCGTGGAGCGAAGGCAGCACTGGGTATAAAAGTGCATTTTTAATTATAGAATCACAGAATGGCCTGAGTTGAAAAGGATCACAGTGATCTTCTACTTCCAACCCCCTGCTATGTGCAGGGTTGCCAACCACCAGACCAGGCTGCCCAGGGTCACATCCAGCCTGGCCTCCAAGGATAGGGCATCCACCAACTCCTTGAGCAAAATATTTAGTTAATGTTTAGTTGCACTCTTAGATTTCTTTTCATGACTTCTGATTCACTATGGTCTGTTGCTGTAACCCATAGCTAGCCCACAGCTCAGAGAAGACAGAAGTTGGAAAGGCCTTAGAACCTCTCAGTTCCATAACATGTTTTCCAAGTGTTACGAATCGTACCAGCATTATTTCCTCAGCTACGCAATCCTGTTATAAATTCTACTCAAGCTTTGCTATTTTCCTTTATTTTTTCTTCCAATCTCATTTGCAGATGAGACAGGTAGAAAAAAAGTGTTCAGAAATTGCTTTTTTTAATTCTCCAAGTCCTGCAGCCGCAGTACTGGCACTACTTTTTCTGTGGTAAGAACACAACTTCTCTATAAAGATTAAATTACATCCAAAAGCAGGTGGCAATGTGAAAAATGTCACTTAGAGCTATTTAGAGCTACTTTTTTTTTTTCTTTTTTTTCTTTTTCCTAAATTTGCTACCTCAGTGGAGTATTGCAATGTGTAAGGTAAATGAGCAGCCAGCAGTTACCACAACACACAGCAGTGGTTCCTGGCACCAGCAGGTGAGTTTCACACTCCAACCAGAGGAGGTCCAGAGGCGGACTGCTTCTACTCATACATGAAGTGCCAAATTTCACACACACATGTATATATATATGTTTATTTATTTACTTATTTCTATGACACTGTATTTAGGGCTTTTTCTTCTTACAGCTCTGTTGTGTGAGGGTACGGTTATTATTTAAGAGAACATCACTATGTCATCGATCAGCACTTACGTTTTCTCTCCAGTGTATTATGTCACTTGGTGCAAACACAACCACCTGACAGCACTCCCTCCAGACTACAGCCAACTAGGGACTGAGACCAACAGCTCTGAGTTCTCCTCAGCATTACACCCCTGTCTGTTAGCTCCTGAAGATGGCAATGGATTGACACTCCCATTTTTCTGCTGTTTCACTCTTTCTAAGCACAATTACCTTTCCAAATGCTGTACATTAAATGACAGCTCCCAAAGCAGAGGAAGACCTTCACACTCCATTAGGAAAGTGCTAATGAGGAAGAATCTCTGAAAGCTTTGTGTGTCTTGGGAGTTTGAGGGACAGCACATTTTGAGAGCGTGTCCTGGCTACTGTGTGACACACGGATCGACCAGGCTAAGTTCCCTACACCTCGCTCCTCCTGCCAACAAGCATTTGTTTGCTGCCTTCCAGCCATGAACCAAACACCTGAATTGGCTTTAAATAGTTTAACAGCTGCACACACATAAGTAGCTAAATCTTTCAGAAGCAGCTGAGTGCAGAACCGCTGATTTCCAGCATGCAAATTGGACAGAACTGGGGGGAAAAGCCCTCTTTCTATGACTGTCTCTCCTACAACTTTCTACTTGTCCATCTCCCCTCCAGCACAATGAACAATCTGCAGTTTGGGGGTAGCCACCACATACCTGCAACAGCTCTTGGCTGCTTCATGTCAACTGAAGGCCAGCCCAAAGCCAGGCCTGGCTCCAGGGGCAAACTGCTCTCCCCACGCCAACTACTTGCTGGAAACAGCTGAGGATTCAAGCCTTTACGCTCTCTCACCTTCACTCATCTATATAAAGAAACACAAAGCACAGTGCAGAGCCCTTTGAAATAGGGAAAAAAAAAAGAGTGAGAAGGAAAGAAGGATGTGGTTATTTAGTAAGAGTACTGGCAGAGCATGGTCTTTAAGCAAATGCTCTCGTGTTCTGTAGAACAACCTGGACTGAAGCAATCCTGCTGAACTTCTTGCTGAGATTCAGGTAAAGTAATTTGTCTTTTAAT